ATACACACGCATGCACGTCGTCATATGAGCGAAATATTCTCAAGCACGACGTTAAACCCAATTTCACCTCACCTCACCTGACTATCTATCTACCTATACCTATCTATGAGTGTGTGTGAGTGAGTGTGTCTGGGCTAGCGTGCGTGTGTTTGTGTGATACGTGGCAATGCAGGTATAGCTCTCCTGTTATGGCTGATACTAGTGTTTTATCCTTACCGACCTATATATAAAGCTAGCACTGTTAGCATACCTTTCAGTATTAGATGCATAACAATAATCAGTGAAGTACAAGAAAATCGAAATGTACAGTAGTTGGCTATAAGTGAGTCATCATTAGTGAAATTCCCATAGACTTGCATGTTAGCAATTCGACCGAAACTGAATATATATATATATAATTTTGATAGTAACAAACAAGTCCATTTAAATTGAAAAGGAGCCCCAGGGAGACCAGAGATTCAGAACCTAGGGAAATCTAGAATTGCTTCATTTAGGGCTTTAGCACTGCAGGGAGGGCTAGGCAGTAGGGAAAATGATATGGTTCAGTGACTGCGAGACAGACTCCCTGTCCAACAAAACGTGGAATCATCAGCCATGTTAGGAAGAAGAGAATCTCCAAGGTCAACAAGCCATCCTGTGGGGAATTATCAGTCTGATTCTAAGACAATATTATTTTTCAGTCGCCAGACCGATTGGATCTGACCATACCCCAAGGACAAAGCCTTAAGGAGTAGAGAACCCGTTTACGGTATATGAACTTACATATATATGCTTGCCACACACTGAATCACATGCATCGTTAAATGGGCAGGTCTGACATTAATTAGACATGTAATGAAATACTGTTAGGTATAAATTGTAGTGGTGGTCCGATTAATTGAAATAATCGAAGATTGGTCGCAGTGGCCAAACGACAAAGCAATCGATCACATTTTCTCATAATCGAACACAAACGATTTTGGAACCGCAGTAATAGAGTTTGAAATACTTGATGATAGAACATATCTAGGACGTTGTCAGGGCCTGAAAACGTGTTTATTTCTAAGAAACTCACTTCACTTTCTGAAAAGTCATGACTGAATATTTCTTGAAGAATCTGGGAAGTTTATGTTACACTGGAACTGAATCATTCACACTGGATGTGAAATTTGCAAATGTAATTTTTGCAGTTTCAAAAAACAACAACAGAGAACCAAATGTTTTCGCTTTATACTTATCTGCAACTACAACCTGAATAGGAAAATCTAAAAAATGACGCGAACCAATTTTTTTCGATGATTGGTCGTTGGTATTGAACCAATCATCAATTAATTTCAACCAATTCCCAACACTAATAAATTGTAGTATACCCTTCTAGAGCTGGGTATCGATATTGATCATAGAGATCGGTAATCGTTAACTAAATATTGATCGATTCCATAAATGTATAAATGTCGGAGACGCAAAACTGTATGAAATCGCTGGTGACTGGTTACATGTGTTTGCATGGATTATTTTCAAAACAGCGTCCTGAACATAATTTGGAGCAGACCATGAATAAAGTCCAATTTTTTTTAATCACAACAGTTAACGAACATTATCGATAACATAATTTTCATATCGATAATCATTAAACATCGGTCCTATCAACGATATTTCTGACTATCGATCATTATAACAAGCCCAATTCCCTTCAACGTTTGATAGGAATATTCAGGTAAATGTACAATTGACATGAGGATCGGTTTTGATAACATGGGCAGACTAAAATAATCCTGTCAAAATCGTAGTGTAAAATTCAATAGAATTGTTGGGAATTCGAGACTGAAAGTTTGCAATGGTTGTATTCTTCTCTTATACACTGTCAAGATGAACTTAGGTAATGCTGTCTCCGAATTGGGCATCATGTTTGAGTAAAATGCAGGTTCAAATCCTCTTACATTTTCTAAATGGATATATGGGGCGGGGTGGGGGTTGGGGGTTAAAGCGTTCGCTCGTCACCCGAAGACCCAGGATTGATTCCCCACATAGGTACAATGTGTGAAGCCCATTTCTGGTGCTCCCTGCCGTCACATTGCTGGAATATCGCTAAAAGCGGCATAAAACTCACTCACTAGTCTTTATAGCGTTTTCAGGGGAGGTGAGGGTAGCCTAGTGGTTAAAGCATTGGCTCTCACGCCGGTTCGAATCCCCACATGGGTACAATGTGTGAAGCCCATTTCTGGTGTCCCCCGAGGTGATATTGCTGAGGGATTGCTAAAAGCAGCGTAAATCCATACTCTGACTGACTGACTGAGTTTGGCTTTACGCCGCTTTTAGCAATATTCCAGCAACATCACCCCGGGGGACACCAGAAATGGGCTTCACACGTTGTACCCATGTAGTGATTCGAACCCGGGTCTTCGGCGTGACGACCCAACGCTTTAACCACTAGACTACCTCACCGCCGCAAATCCATACTCACACTAAATGGACATATTTTTACTATAAAAACAAATGTTATATTCAACATTTAATGATCTATCCCTTCTGTTGTATTAAATCCTATTGCTGATATATACAATGAAAATTATCATATTTTACCTTTGGGAACTTTTGGTTACATATCTGACGGTGGGTCAATCGAAATATAATAGTCATATGTTTCCGGTTGTATCAGTGACTACGTTTAGCCCAATTACGTCCACAGAAGATCATATATAATTCTCACCCAGTGAAAATGTCTCGCATCATGTCTATTGGCTATATTTTGTTTAAAAATGGCATTCGGGAATATAAGTATTACCCACCCCTACATTATGACTCCCAATCACGACGCTGACTGAAACATTGAAGTCACGTAGATCTGTTTAGGGGACTACTTGACGGTCTGAGTTTAGAATGTTAAATGTATCCTTTACTGGCACCGGACGTGGTATTTGCGTGGGTGACTCGCCTCCCTGTTCACACAATTACGGTAATGAAATTAAAGACTTTTCTTATAAGAAGGAATGCTCTTCAGATACTTGTAATTCCTGCTCAAGAACGCCCTGCATCGTGTGAACGTTGTAGGTCCGAGGTACGTACTTCGGCCGCTTATTTCAACTGTGGGTTTATGCATCCTTGAATTGAATTGTTGGTCCATATCCAAGTAGACTAAGTACACTTAGTAGTGACTGAGTAGTAAAATGCATGTCATAGTTTAATGTTAATGCCGCGTAAATACCACGGTTCGATCAGTGCCACAGCAAGTATTCCTTGTTGTAATAGGAGATTAAATTTAATCGAGCTGTTGGGCTCGGTAACGTGTCCAGATTAAATACATACCGCTATCATAGGCGCCCGACTCTGATATATTTATAAGTATGACCTATGTGTATCGTATATACATAGGTCATACTTATAAATTTATTAGAGTCGGGTGCACCTATGGCCGCTATATAGTAGTTGAAATATTGTTGATTGTAGAATAATATAACAAAGTTTCAACACTGGTGTTCAAAAAATGCGAAAAGCCGGTAAAAGCATGGCCGTGCAACTGAAAACGAACATGTTCTGAACCATTAATATATGCAGTTAACTAGCCCAAACCAGTGTATATGGCATAATGATACGCAAGTATAACTATATAACCAGTCTATATTACATAATGATACGCAAGTATAACTATATATATTCCACACATACAACATAAGAGAATCCCTTTAGAAGAATATCGTGCTGGTATTGGCATACAACCTGCGATACGATACATCACGATGCTAAACTTTTAGTCACGACGATATATTGCCAAAGTATCGTGCACTGAAGCTGCGATACGATACGAATCCCGATATAAAGGTGACGATACGATACGCATCACGATACTAAAATATTTAATTCTAACACCAACTATAAAACACCTGAATATCAAAACAAAACCATTTTAAAGTATTTCGTCAAATTCCGCCAGCGTTTTTCAATGTTCATTCGGAAACGAGATAACTACGTTTATAGACGGACTTTGTGAATGATAATAACATGCGAGCTATGTCTGACACAGTTCTTGACGCAAGAATTTCCGAGAAAACGTTTACTTATGAAGGGAAAATAAGTAAGCAAATATTTTAATCATCAAACAAAAGTGAGTCTTTTTTTCTTGACAGATATCGCGATTCGGCAATATTCAAAGTTAAACATCGATGTATCGTTGCCCATTTGAAGTATCGTATCGGGATATACGACAATGTAAAACTTTGTATCGATTCACTGTATCGGCGGCCCATGGATCGATGTATCGATGCGTATCGATGAATCGTCACACCCCTAGAAGAATATCGTGCAATGCAAGACAAGAAAAATGTATTTGTGCAAACACTAGCGTGAACAGTCTGTTCCTAAGCGTAGGGATAAAAGCGGAGATTTTACGAACACTTCACTCATTCGGCCTCCATTAAACGAGATAAATATTTTTACAAATCACTTCATTCGTAAACCGACTGGGATCTTTCTCGTCGAAGAACATATGTTGCTTGTTAGAAAAAGGAGTGTGCGCGAGTGAGTGATGGGGTGCATTACTAATTTTGTCATATAGAGCGTTGGGACACCAGAAACTGGTTCCACATGTTGGGAATCGAACCTTTTCTGCCTGTAAGCCTTTTAACACTATTGAATCAGCCAGCATAATTTAGTCAACTGTATTCAGAGATGTGCTTATCACTTTGATACTAATTTGGTCCAGGGGCTCCTTTGACGAAGCAACCTTTACTAAGGTTAACCTGAACTCCCATTCTTTAACATGGCACTAAGGTTACCTTTGTGACCAACGACCACCTTAGTGCTTTGTGAAAGGAGGCCCTGGTCATATATCAGTAAGAAATGAAAACAAAACACAACACAACACAACAAAATACTGAAAACAAAAACTGTATTCATCCACAAATACAAAACAAAAAACAAAACAGAGGTAAAATAAGTCATGTTTTTGTATTTCATAAACATTTTCACAAGTGCCTAAAGAGTCCTAAAATTATTTACAAATGTTTTTGTGTAGATGTACAACTTCAGAGGTCCTTCTTCTTAAACACACTCTTGACTCTTCTGAAGAAGTTGGCCATCCTAGACAGCAAGGTCTTCAGGAAGGAGTGGGATGGTTGGGCAACTTCCTCATCACCAAGATCTACTTCAACAAAGTCAGTGTCATCCACGATGAACTGACCAGCAATGGTGAGGGACACAGAAGGGACAGTGCTGGGGCGAAGGGGCTGGGGGACGGGCAGGTCAGACAAGGGGGCAGGGATGGTCAGGGACTCTGACGTGGGGTGCTGTAGATAGGGTGGAGGTTGAAAGGAAAGATGGTGGAGCTATGGTGGTTATGTAGGAGAAATCAAGTTATTCATTTCTGATGTATAATGATACTATGGCCCAGAAAGGTCTGAAGGTTTACCAAGATAAAATTAATATTAAGTGGAAGTTACTTTGGAGATTAATATGCATAATGTTGAGTGTGTGAAAAAGTCATCCAAGAGAAGGTAGTCAAAGCCTGATTCCACAAGGGTTAAGTTTCTAGGACATTGACCATCATCCAGAATGGTTTGTGGTGTTATATGTTATATACCTTTCACACTTTGCTAAGGATCAAATCATGGATTCAACAGAAAACTATGATGTGGGGGTCAAATTTGGTTTAAATATCTAAGCTTATTGTAAGCCTGGTTCCTAGGTTTCAGTATGTCATTGCATCTTGTGGATCCCACCCCTGCTATTGACAGGTGTTGTTTATTTGTCAATGACTCGTTCCATGATTTGCAAAATGGTTGATTGGTGCCATGTAAACCATTTTTATGGTTACTCATGTATCAAGTGCATAAAGTTAGAATAAAGTGGCTGTCTGCCTAAAGAGGGGCTATCATATTATTATTTATCCAGTTTTAAATGGATACAATTTCAAATTATAAATCTACCTTTAAGTAAAGTTATGAATTTTTGTGATCCTTATGAAAGTGTGAGTAGTATTATGATAATGATAAAATTGTGGATATATCATTACAAAGGAAGAGAGACAAATGAAGATACAAAAAACTAGACAATAAGAGAAAAACAAAATGATGCAATGATAACACATCATTGAAGTCTAGAACATTGACTGGCAGTATTTGCAACATGTCAATGAGAAACCATTCTGGAATCATTAAGAGGTTCCTGCTACACCTACTGGACAAGGGTCAGGATAAGTCAGGGGGGACAAAGGCAGGGGGAACCAGATCATCCGATCAACTGTGGGGGGAATGAAATGACATGAGTACACCAGGCAATGCCAGTACCAACCTGACGTGACGGTGACCACTTTTCTGTTGCCAGGCGTATGTTTTCTTAGAGGACATTAGCAAAGTCTAGCTTATATATGCGTTCCTAACACCTTTAATAAAAATGTCCGTTGGACTACAGTTGTGCCCGACATACGTTTTGGGACGGCAGTGTTTACTAGCGACATTGTAAGTACTCAGATGATGGCTTGTATTTACTATGAATTTGTGTTTTAGAAGTTAGTGAGATGTCTAACTGTTACATTTTACTGTTTGGTAGCTCCCGAAAACTAATATCAAATAATATCGAAGATAATTCTTGATGTACATCTGTGTGTGACCCTGAAAGATTGTTCCCTGAAATACCTTGTGATTCACGCAGAAAGTGTATACAAACATGTGATGATCACGAATGTACATATCTACAGTATATCTATTATATGGAAACGTATTTCTAAAACGAAAGATTAAATGAATACCAGCACTTAGTTGTTAAAGTATTTTCAGATCTTTTGGCATACGAAATACTGATTAATACACATCCAGAAGAAAGAAAACAGATTAATACTTGATACAAATTGTACCTTGAACATAACTGCTCGCATTCATGGTGGCAGGTTCTAGAAATGCAAGAAAGGATAGGCAGCTGAAGCTTTCAGAACAGAATGCAGATGAAACAACAACAATGGCGTCGATGCTCTCATCAAAGTGACAACGGTTGTCAAGGACAAATCAAGTCTCGTAAAATGACGCGATATGTTAAAAAGTAATCGAAACTGGTTCCCGATTTCCCTTGCGCATGCCATCTTTGGGGTGAAGAGACGGAACTTAGTGTGTGTCGGTGTAAATTTACTGCTTTAATATTTTCTTTTAAACAGTGTATTATTTACCAGAGTGGGTGTGTTGGTTGGTTTAATGTGGGTTGATATGACAGGAACATTGCTATTTAAAGTCAACATCAAACACACAGTCTCTCACAAATGAGGTGTCAAAATATCATTGATACACGTTTCATCACTTGGAGCTACAGACTGTAGCCGGCGTAGGCCAGGTTGCTGTTGTTTCTTTTGATGATGATGATGATGATGATGATGATGATCTTAATGTTGCCTTTGTGTACCTTTATACATGTCTGAGATCTACCCTTCAACAAACGTTTACTTCAGCGGAGAGCCCTCGTTACAGCTACGACCCTTCCAGAGGGATAAAATACTAACCAACGTAACTGGTGGCAGCCATGTTTAGTTTACTCTCAAGGGACACCACTCTGTTTACCCAATGAGCTATACATCCTTTCTTTCATTGGTCATGCGGTCTTTCATTGCAAGTGATGTGTTCGATACACGCTTGGCATTTTTATTTCACGGTGGCAACTTTGCGGCGTAAGAATTTCCCATGGAACGTACTACATACTTTTTGTATCCTCTGTGAAAATATCCCTTTGATATTCCACTGTGATTAAATATTGGGACATGAAAATGTATCATTTTACTATACCGAAATGTAGGTTTATATGACAACAATGAAGGTAGTGTGTCACCCCTGTATCCCTAAATGAGTCCCTAATTACACGTATAATATTTAAAGGTTACGATTTCACGTTATCATTTAGAATATTTCAAACAAAAATGATTGCTCAATTGTCATTCCAGGTAGATAGAAAATCGAACATCGAGTCATATTTTTGTATTTTTCAAATTAAGCTAATGTTTATACATATTTAACATTTTATTGACAATTGTTCTGGCGGGTAAGATGTGTATTTTTCTATTCTTAATTCATCTAAATACTATCCGATATTGTGTCAGTTACATAAGTGATTAATCTAAATCACTGGATAATGGAGGTACTTAACCAAAGCGAAAAAGCTACTTGTCAGTGCGGACTGGCTTCCCCTTATATTGACCTTGAAATACACTGGTTATGTCTATCATTGTTGTACACAGGGGAGAGCTTATGCATAGTGTGAAGTTAGATGTCTGTGAAGAACTTCATATTGTATTAGTTCTGTAAACATCCTACAACTAAAAAATTGTTTATCTAATGAAAAGTGATTATTCACCGCTTAACTCTAAAGTTGCCAAATTTATCAAAACTTGACTTTGTTCAATGTTATAATATGTATCAATATGATGTATGTTCTCTGTGTCACTATATGTTATTTTTTAGAATAAAATTCCGGTTCTAATCCAATCTGTTCAGTAAAAGGATTAGTAATATGTTTTGAGAAGGGCACAGGAGATAGGAGTGCGTTGTTACTAACTTACTATACGTACCCTGGAGGACTCTGGGTCAGCTCATTAATTAAATAGGGGTGGACAGCATGGCTCAGCTCATTAGTGTACTCATTGAGTCTGTCTTACGAGAGGTCTGTCTTTTTGGGAGTGAACCATGTCATTGTATCCCAATTGCGTAGATCAATGCAGTTAATAACTGGATTATCTGGTCCAGGATCGACACAGCTTGGTCACCTTACGGGAGCAGGGCGTGGACGACGAGAGGGTTATAAAATTAAATAAACCTAACATTCTTTTATGGATTGTCTATCCTTCCATCCTACATATCAGGGTGGCTTCCAAACTAGTACCAGTGCCTCATTTGTTAGAGATTGTGGGTTTTGACAATATTCCTACCATATGAATCCACATGAAACCGCCCAGTACTCCCGCGTTGCTAAATATTATATACACTTCTAAAAACATTTCAATAAACATAAACTAAAAACCATAAACCTCCATCTAATACGCAAACTGCGATCTTTTAATGTTTCCCAATCTGTAATGATGCTGTTTTAAACCACTTATATTCGGAGTATACTCGTTTATTCTCCTCAGTGATGGTTCAAGTCTCTTTTTAGTCAAAAACAAATCAAATCTTAACAAAAGTGTGAATACAGCTGGTAAAATAGCCGGGGATATTTTCGATAATCTTTCACTTCTCTATGAGCGGCAAGTACTGTTAAGGGACCGTTCATAATTTATGGCTGGGGGTAAATGATGATTTTTATGGAGAAGCATGTAAAATGTGAATGAACACCCCACCCCCAAGTTAAGTACAAAATAGTGACCCCCCGCATGTCATATACAAAATCAATGCCCCCAATAATTTCTAAGCATAATTTTTAAAACATTTTTTATGTACAAAATTGACCCCCCAGTACATGTGTACAAAATTGATGACACCCCCAGCTCCCCAGAACAAAGTGGGTGACCCCCCTTAAAATCACCATCACCCCCCTAGCCATAAATTATGAACGGTCCCTAGCGTCTGAAAAAAAATCATTGATGACCCAACCCATTTTTTAAATCCAAAGTATCAGCTTTTACCTTCCGGCCGCCGCTACACAGTGCCAATCACCAAGACTAAATGAGCTCGAACGTCTTTTGTACCTCAAAGTATTGCAATTTTAAACAAATGTTGAATGTCCAGTTATCATCTTATTTGTTTACTTATTTCAAGCATATATTCATCTCTTTTTATGGTTTTAGTAATTTCATATTTCATGTTGCTATTTATGTGTATTTTTATCAAGCTCTGTGATGCAAAATGAATTCCTTTAAAGGTAATGAAGTATTGTCTATGTATCTGCAGTCTGTTTGGGTCAAAATGATACCGATACAGGGTGTTCCTGCAACAGTTAACTGTTACTTTACCCTCGTAAAACTTCACCCGCAAAATCAAAACAAAATGATGATAGTTTTAAGTAACGTTTGTATTTTGGAGACATACGTAATGAACCTTTTTTCCAGAGTTGGTCTGATGTTTTCATTACATTCTGCGTTGAAATGGATGTTTGACCATGAACCGATTTGGAGTTAGATTGTGATTCATCAGTATCAGTTTGATCCGAACCGACTATAATCTGTCTAATACATTATTATGTCATGCCAAATCAGTCAACAGACTCAACACCGACACACGCTAAGCTCCGTCTCTTCATCTCAAAGTTTGCATGCGCAAGGGAAATCCGGAACCAGTTTCAATTACTTTTTGGATGTCGCGTTATTTTATGAGACTTGGTTTGTCCTTGACAACCGTTGTCACTTTGATGTGAGCATCGACGCCATTGTTGTTGTTTCATCTGCATTCTGTTCTGAAAGCTTCAGCTGCCTATCCTTTCTTGCATTTCTAGAACCTGCCACCATGAATGCGAGCAGTTATGTTCAAGGTACAATTTGTATCTGGTTTTCATTTCTTCTGAATATGTATTAATCGATATTTCATATCCCCAAAGATCTATATTGTGAGTCTTCGTTTGAACAAAATACTAAAAACAACTAAGTGCTAGTGTTCATTTAATTTTCGTTGTAGAAATTAGTTTTCTCTGAAAAGATAACCAATCGTGTATACACTTTCAATGTTAATCAGAAAGGTCTTTCAGGGTACAAGTTATCAGGGTCACACATGGATGTATACATCAAGAATTATCCTCCTACTTAGTTCAGCCAGCTAAATGTCTTGTTCCTATCTAGGTATACACCGACGTTGATGTATACCTTGGTAGGAACAAGACGTTTAGCTGGCTGACCTACCTCCTACTATGTCCTTTCGGACGCTAAGAAACATTTGTTGCCTCGCTAAAGTACTGTCGGAAATAGAAAAAAACTTTTTTCACATTTACATATATCTACAATTTATGAAGTTGATATGTGCAAGTGTGAAATATCTGTTAAACTAAGTTCGGCCTAACTACAGTCTCAGTGGTGGGGAGATAGGAAACGTAAAAAAAGGACTTTACTGAGGAGAGATGAGTGCAGAAATGAGCAATGTTTTTTTTTCTAAGTCCAAAGCGACTTATTTAGAACAAACCATGTCTTTATGCAAATTATTGTGCGATGATAATTGTATTTCAAAGGACACTTTTTAAATGCCTATTTTGAAACTAGGCTTAGCTTCATTCTAAATGATAGCTGACGTAAAAAATACTAACTTTAATACTGAAACTATTAAGGATGTAGCTACCATGGAGCCTCACTATCACTATAAAAAGAAACAGGTAGGAGGGGTCGTCTCAAAAGCAAAACCAGGACAAGTGTCACAGACGGTGGTGTGGGTCATACTGGGGGATAGAGATATCAGCTAACATAATATAATCCTTTAGGAAATTAAATTGGGGGAAGTAAACGGCATGTCTTAATAATTAACAAATATTATCCAGTCCTGTCGATCTTGGGGTGGTCTTGCCACCTGTATATTTGGAGACATTTAATACGATAGTTGATTTAAGCTTTTCTATGGGTATCATATTGTTTTACATATCTCAACATAAACGTTAAAACTTGTGAAGATGTATATTTACTATGAAGAAAAAGTCTAGGAATGAAGTAGGTATTGTCTGGTTGTACAGTAGATTCATATAATGAATTGATTTATTTTCCAATGCCATTAATGAAAGATAATCAATAGATGAGACATATTCAATACACATGAAAAAAGCATAAAATATCTTTGAGATGACCCCTTGTGCCTGTAGGCAGCACATGCATTTCATGCCAGTTGAGTCGATGGTCCGTCGTCATACCTGGCTGAGCGACCTAATTGCCATCTATAGTCTGATCTATTGTTTTCAGCAGCTATTCCTATTTTTGCCCTATTTTACGAGTAAACATGCATTTCTAGATATCCTATTACACATCCCACTGAACGCCCAATTAGGCCGATGTGGGTTATTTCAACATATGCTGCTTGCAGTTGTGTAAATTTTAGGGATACAGAGTAATAGCCTAAAAACAGTTTTTTCCTATTTCCGACAGTACTTTAATCACATGAACTACTGTAAAACATGTCACTATCTTATAAACACAAATTTATGTCAAACACAAGCCATTATCTGAATATTTATAGAGCTGCTATAGAGTATGTTCGACTGAAAAGAAAAGAAAGAAAGGCTAACCCTAACCTAATCCTGAGTATTTGAGGAAAGGATTATTGGTACACATGGTAAAATAGTTACAAAATAAGGTGGCGAACATATTCTATAATCACATCGTATTTATGTCTGTGTGTGACACACACACACACACACACACACACACACACACACACACACACACACACACACACACACACACACACACACAGAGAGTTGCGCATAGTAAACACTGCTGTCCCCAAAACGTATGATGTTTGAAACATATCATCCAACCATAGGTTTATTAAAGGTGTTACGAAAAAAGGTAAGTTAGACTAGCTAGTGTACTCTAAGAAAACATACGCCTGGTAACAGAGAAGTGGTCACCGTTACGTCAGATTGGTACTGGCATTGCCTGGTGTACTCATGTCATTTCATTCCCCCCACAGTTGATCGGATGATCTGGTTCCCCCTGCCTTTGACCCCCCTGACTTATCCTGACCCTTGTCCAGTAGGTGTAGCAGGAACCTCCTTATGATGTATTTTCACTGACATGTTGCAAATACATAACAAGCTGAAAGAGTTGATGAAATGATTATTAATCATCCAAGGAATAATTCTGTCCGCTGTCTGCTAGTCAGTCTTCTACACTTTGATAATGTGTCATTGTTATTTCAAAGAAAACCCTTTATGTTCTGTTCTTCACTTATTGTCTCTTCCTTTATAATGAATATACATTGTATACCCTTGGGATTTTTGTAACAATTTCAGTTGCTTTTGTTAACGGCATTTTCAGTTTTCATCAACTATTAATTCAACATTCTTCTACATCATGACTAACCTTTTAAAGAAACTTATAAATCATTTTGGATGAAATCTGTCAATGTCCTGGAAACTAAACCCATCTGAAACACAGTCATTATCCTTCTTCTCTTGGAAGACTTTTTAACAGATTCAACTCCGTGCTACTTAATCTCTCACATGATTTTCAAATCAAATCAAATTTATCTTGGTATACCTTCAAGGCTTCTGGGCTATAATATTATTATTTATCAGAAATGAAAAACTTGATTTCTCCTGCATGACCTCCATCTCCCCACCATCTTTCCTAACATTCTTTTCTTCCAACCTCCACCCCATCTGTAGCAACCCACTTCAGAGACCCTGACCATCCCAGCCCCCTTGTCTGACCTGCCCGTCCCCCAGCCCCTTCGCCCCAGCACTGTCCCTTCTGTGTCCCTCACCATTGCTGGTCAGTTCATCGTGGATGACACTGACTTTGTTGAAGTAGATCTTGGTGATGAGGAACCTGCCCAACCATCCCACTCCTTCCTGAAGACCTTGCTGTCTAGGATGGCCAACTTCTTCAGAAGAGTCAAGAGTGTGTTTAAGAAGAAGGACCTCTGAAGTTGTACATCTACACAAAAACATTTGTAAATAATTTTAGGACTCTTTAGGCACTTGTGAAAATATTTATGAAATACAAAAACATGACTTATTTTACCTCTGTTTTGTTTTTTGTTTTGTATTTGTGGATGAATACAGTTTTTGTTTTCAGTATTTTGTTGTGTTTTGTTTTCATTTCTTACTGATATATGACCTGGACCCTTATTCTCGAAACGTTCGAAGCCCTAAGAATTCTTAACTTTGATTGTAGCCAATGAACAGGACAAAATCTTAACTAAGCAATAAACATATTTTTGAATACAGTGTGTAAACATTTTGTGGTGGCTGATTTAAAAGGGTCAAAACATTGACAGTAAGGTGTTTCTGAGTAAGCATATTTAATGTTGTACATCAACACAAAAAACATTCCTAAACCATGTGGGGACTCTTAAGACACTTTTAGTTTTTGTCAAAATAAACTGCTTGCAATAATTATGGTAACAGAAAATTAATGATTGATAAGCAATACTTAGAATAATTTGCACATCATTTGAGATATCCTTGTAGAGATTTTTCATACAATGTGAAAAGTAATTCTTCCAAGAACTAATTTGGTATATAAACTTCCATTGTATATAAATTCCTTTTCATTCTATACATTTTCTGTAGATAACGTTAATTGAGTCCCTTAACAATATGTAAGCCTGTTATTGGAACTGGAATCAAAGAAATGAGAAAACAAACAATGAGTTATAATTGTATAATCTGGTTTATTTTTAAATCACTGTTATCACACATATTAATACTCGCATTTGTCACAGACATGTATCTCACCCACTGTCCTCTTCCATACACTTGAAATGACAAAAAGAAACCTTTCATTGTTTCTTTTAACAGTAGTTCATTTTACATCCACATTCCTACCAAGAACATATTTTTCTCAAGACACTAGAAATCTGGGATAACACAAAGGAGCTACTTGTTAATAATGAACCATGTTCAGTTCAAATAAATGCAACCCTATTCTTCATTTTAAACTATTTTATAGTTTGTTGTACACTTAAGTCAGCAATATTACAAATACTTGAGACTTGACCAGACAATATCCAATAGTTGATATTATGAACAACGATCCATGATGTTGAAATACAATGACATGTAATCAATTGTCACCAAACCTTATAAATCAATCTTGAAAGTCTCTGCCAAAAACATTTTAGTCCACTCACCTGATCTCTTTTACCATTATAATCAAAAGATCTGTGTGATCTTCAACAGGCAGTTCAAAACTTCAAAGTCAAACACAAAACTTAATACCTTTGCACTCCAAAAGTGAGTCTGGATCATTTGGAATTAGGGATCCTTGACTTTCATACTAAATTTGAAACAGTGTAATCATAAAAATGTTACTAACAGAGCTGTTCCTGACTTGAAACACACCTTCAGGAGTGGAAATAACCCATTGCCCGACATCCGAGTCCAGTGTTTTTTTCTGTCGGGCAAGCAAATTTGTATATCACACTGTACCGGTGTCCAGTTGACTTTCCAATGTTAATTATGTTGTTTATTAAAAAATCAACAAGAAAACGGCTGGTATAGTGGAAAAATTATCAGGGCAAGTGATTTCACATGTGCCAGTGTACCGGCGTACACTAGCAATTTTATAATTATTTCCACCCCTGACCTTCCCAGAAAAGTTGATGTAATCAACAATTCATATCCCTCTTTCATAAACCCTGCATCCATCTGATTGAATCCATTGAAAGACATTGTTCCTTTTAACACTAACTCACTAGACTGCCTAGACCAGACTGCATAGTATACAGACCACACTTATATAACCGTACACTATGTCAGAGACAAAAGCACCTCACCATTGAGTCAGACACATATTTCTTCAAAATAAAATCTCACAAGTTTGTCCATTTCCCTGAAATCATTTTTTCTTCTTTCTAAAGCTCCTTTTCTTTGGGTATTTCTTGTTGCTGTTGACATTTTCCTGAAATGCCTTGACAAGTTTGTGAGTCAGCACACCCTGTTTAGCCAAGTTATACAGCACTGCTGCGTCTCCTTCTGAGACCACACTTGTGTCATTTGATTTAATAATCCGTTGTAGATCCCCAGAGATGGGTTTTTCCCATTTGTGTCTGTCATCGCTGGACAATTTTGAAGCCAATTCAAAGTCACTTCTTTCGGGATCGGTTTCATTTCTCTCAAATGTCTGGATTTTTCTTTCAATTTCAAAATCGTCCCTGAAGTCCGATGTGACAGTGGACATGTTCTTGCTGACCTTAAGTAACTGGGTGATGTGAGCTACTCCTTCATGGATGAGGACGTCCAGTTCCTTCTGCATGTCCCTCACAGGCTCCGTATCGGGGAACATGTCCTGGAAACGGTAGCTGGGGAGGAAGAAAGTATAGCCTCATGTTCACATTTTAAGTTTAACCCACTGAAGATTCTATTCTAAACATCAATATTCGTTACATCCTAATTTTTTTGTCACATGAGCGATGCTGATTTTTATTATCATCAGATGTAGTCTATTTCATATATCCAAAGGCCAAAATACAAAATAATAACAGAAACATGGTACACACAAGGTAGAAGCATGGACACATTGTTACTTCACTCCCTCACCATCCATTCCCTCAACATCCCGAAGCCCTGTACCAAAGACATGACCCTCGACTGTCTGTGATAAGACCACCCTCTCTCCAGCCCACCCCCAAGAGAGAAATCCCACATGCAGTTCTGATTGCTTTGTGCCTGTGTCTGAGAATTAATCAACCGCCACACTGGCTGGCTTAGTCTACCTTACAGACTTAGTAAAAAGTTGAAGGGAACAAGCAGACTGTATACTGATATATGGTCTATGAATCTGGTTTTAATGAGACTGGCCACTTGTCTCTACACTGTCTTCATGACATGGTCTTACCAGATGCCACACTCAGCAGTATTCCAGATGGTCTGTAAATAATCAAGTCTGGACCAGACAATCCAGTAATGAACAGCATGAACATCGGTCTACGCAATTGGGATATGATGACAAGTGTCAACCAAGTCAGCAAGCCTGGCCACCCGATTCTGTCAGTCGACTTTATGACAAGCATGGGTTACTGAAGACCAGTTATAACTGGATCTTCACGTATTTATGAGAGTGTCTTTTAACCTGATAACAGTGCGCCAGATAATGACTTCCTGATGACATGGTCTTACAAGTCCCAGTCCCAGATCGACATCCTCAACATTTAAAATGATCTAAGACAAAAACATAACAACTATCAAGTAGAGTTCATTACTCTGAAGTGAAAATTCGAGCTCACCTGAGCCACAAGTAGAGGTCAAGGACATCGAACACCCCCTCCAGATGGATGAGGTCGTTGATGGTGGCTGGTTGGGCGAAAGGCCAGTTGATCTGGGTCCGAAGCTTTAACAATGTGAGTGGCTCACTCCGGCTGAACTGACGAGCAAACTGTGAAGAAACGTTTTGCAAATGTTTTCAATGTAGCTTTGATTTCATGATGAAAAATCAAGAGTAAGAGCATTGATTGTATTTAAGTCAGACAGAGAACTGCAAGCCCCCTTCAGTCTCCGGTGTGGTGGAGATAGCCCAGTGGTTAAAGCATTCGCTCGTCACGCAGAAGACACTTGTTTGATTCACCACATGGGTAAAAAGTGTGAAGCCCATTTATGGTGTCCCCTGCAGTGATATTGCTGGAGTATTGCTAAAAGCGGCGTAAAACTAAACTCACTTGCTCCCTTCAGTCTCCACACTAGAGTGTTCATTATGGATACATTGCTTACTAGTTCCAGACTAAGTCACAAACTTTCAGGTATTACTGAGATGCTTTGTCTCTACAAAGACTCAGTCTGTGCCAAAAGAAAGTACTTAGCATCTTTGAGTCTGAACAAAGCTCATAGCATCATTTTCAAGAGATTTTAGTGTAATTGTATGGACTATTTTTAGCTGAGCTTACAAGAATGAAGACTATTTTATTCAGAATTATGATGAATAAATCTGAATAAATTGTAGATAGCAAACAGAAATCTGTAATTTACACAAGGTGCATTCTCCCGACTGATTTTTTTTGTTAATTTCTTTTTTAAAAATATTTCCATACATTCATGGCGGATCTTGTTAATTTTTATGCTAAGCTTTTAAGTGAATATTGCATCACATTGCCTCATCCTCCTTGTCATTAGTCCATGGAAACATCAAAGATTTGACCTTGACCTTAAATTCTGCACACCTACCTTGTGCCACAGTCATCCATGACAACCTGTAAGTGTTTGAATCTGGACCAGACAAACCAGTGATAGAAGTCATGGACTTAGACTCATGACAATGGAGTATGATGACAAGCTATTAACTAAGTTCCTAAGGTGTAACATCTGTTCAAATGAATCGCCTTGTATGACAAGCTTAGGTTGATGGTCGCCTATTCTAACAAGCAATTATTATTATTATTATTATATGATACTTATATAGCGAACATATCCAGGCAACTAGTGCTTGCTCAAGGCGTTAATATTTTTTCCCTCGATCATTGGATGTCAATCTCAATTGCACATCGTATTATCAATCTCAACTCCCTGGGGGAGTATACAACTCTTGCAGCCACTAGGCGCACCGAGTTATTGTGGCTTTCTCATCCAAACGAGGTGCCCATTCACAGCTGGGTGGACTTGGACACATAGTCACAGTATTTTGTCCAAGTTCACTGCACGTTGCTGTACCCGCACCTAGGTGTTTGCACGTATTCATGTGGCCACCATCTGGTCATATACCAACGGAACGTGGGTTCTTTTAAGTGCACAGGGTTGTGTACTGTACACTAGGGGTTGTGACAACACTGAAAGAGTCTGCACAGAAAGTTGACTCCAAGGTTTTTACACCCGGTCACAGGTGGGCTCGATCCTGACACCTCAACCTCGCTGGATCACTAGCCTGGTGCCTTAGCCAGCTCGACCACCGCGCCCCCCAATTACTGTCAAGCCAAAGACGGCACAATTACCTTGAGAAACATGGTACAGACAAACGGTTGTTTGGTTGGAATTGGAGAACAGCAGAAGACATATTTAGCTCGGAGTGGAAGGGGTACATGTTCGATCAGATCAGCCAGGAACTTGAAGTCCTGGACATTACAAAGGAAGTACTTGTCCTTGTCCAGCACGGACAGGGAGACGAAGATGTCCTGCAACCATTAAACATAAATGGGAGTCCACTGGAAAACAACATCACCTGGTTAGTGAGTTTGGAAAATCGGAAAATATTTTAGATACCATTGGTTCTAAATGAACATTCCAGGAATCATACACCCGGTACTCAATAACCTGAATAAGACCCTTTAAGCCTGAACACATACAATGTTGTCCCACTGATACTCAACAATATTCCAGCTATATGATGGCAGTCTGTAAATAATCAAGTCTGGACTAGACAATCCAGTGATCAACAGCATGAACATCAATCGGTGTAGTTTGGATATGATGACATGTGTCAACCAAGTCAGTGAGCCTGACCACCCAATCCCGTTTAGTTGCCTCTTACGACAAGCATGGGTTACTGAAGGCCAATATTCTAACCTGGATCATCATGGGTCCACATGGAATAAGGACATGCAGTGTCTATACTCACAATCAGGTTGGAGAGAGTGGCTTTAGGCAGGTGGTACGCAAACAATTCAATTTGTTCTGCTGTTGGATGCAAACCTGCCTGCTGCAATACAAACATAGTACAATCATTTTCCTTTGTTCACAACTTCAATCAAACAGTTCGCAATGAAAGGTCCATCTAATAACATGCAAGACTACAACACACAAATAGATATGTACTTAATGGTTCCAAACAAAGTAATAACTTATAACGGCTCCAAATATGATCAACTAATGAAGCTACTTGTAACAGCTCCACTCTAGAAATCAATCCATGTTATAACTCCTTCATGTACAGAAACCAACTTACTTGCAATGGCTCCACATTCTTGCTGACTGCGTCGCCTAGAAGCTGCAGGTCGCCTTTTTTGAAGGTAGTTACCTCCCCTTTCTCATATGCTGTGTTGTACCTCCCAGCACGGCCTGCTATTTGCAGCGTCTGGGACGTACTAATCACCTTCATCTCCATCTCGCCCTCCTCGTTCATGTGGGGCTTTATCATGGTGTAGAAGATGATGCGCTTGATGGCGCTGGAAGAACAAATGTCAGCATCGGTAACCACAAGAACAAAAAGGTCAGATCTATTTGGGGGGGCCTGACATAGTAATATTTCAAATACCTGCCTTCATGTGGGAATTACCAAGCAATTTTTCAAATAATCTGTAGTATGACAAGTATCACTATAAGAATGAAATATTTCTATTCATTTCCTAATTTCAACTCCTAGTATTTGTTTTGTCAGAAGAGGTATGTCTGTCATTTTCTTCAGGACAATATGTGCAACATATGTTATATTTGGGACTACACTTTCTTAGTAACGTACAGATTCTAGTACTTTTCTTGGGTTGAGTCCCATTTGAACCCACACCCTCAGAGTCAGGCACCTAATCGCCAGCACACAAAGTCAGCTGCAAAGTGCTGGCGGTTAGGTACCTGACTCTGAGGGTGTGAGTTCGAATCACGGATGGGACTCAACCAAACAAAAGTACTAGAATCTTTACTAAGAAAGAGTAATCCCAAACATAACAAATGTTACATTTGACCACTTTCTAAAATGGCAGTGTATTCAATATTATGTGCAATAAGTGCTTGCATCCTTTCTGTGGAGTCACGATATGGCTGAAATATTGCCAAAGTGACTTTAAATTTTAACTCACTCACTTTCTGTTGCCAAACAGTATAATCAGGAGATCTCAAAGACAAGAATCTGTCCTTCCCAAATTCCCCAGAAAACAACTCACAGATTCAGCCCCATCCCTATGGCATCCGTGGCAACCATTATGTTGCAGGGGTCATCTGGGTCATTAAACTTCTTGGACTGCGCCAACTTGGTTCCTGAATGCAAAAAAAGTTCTCTAGTATTGGCTAAGGATGTTTGTTTTTAATAATTTTGATCCATTTGCTTACAATCAACACATCAAACCAAAACACCTGAAAGTTGATAAAAATTAATGACTTTCATCAATGTGTTTATGGCTGATTGGGTTTTACAGTTACAGAGTCAAGTTACCCATGAAGATTTGGGTTAGAATGTCTTCAGCAACCAATGCTTGCTGTACGAGGCAACTAATGGGATTGGGTAGTCAGGCATGCTGACTTGGTTGACACATGTCATTATATCCCAATTGATGCTCATGATGTTGATCACTTGATTGTATGGTCCAGACTTGATTATTTACACACTGGTGCCATATAGCTAGAATATTGCGTCGATAAAAAAAACAAAAGCAAAATAAAAAACGGGCAAGGTGTGTCCAACCGAATGCAATGAGTAAAATTCATGCGTGGGGCTTATATCGGAGAGAGTGAGGACAGAGGCATGCTGAGGTCACCTGCCCGGTTTGGGCGGGAAATAAGGGAGGTAATTCGGGGTGAGTGATTGTACGTTCGCTTCAAGTGAATTGAAGGGATTCAAGTTTCCACTTGACTGTTCGGAAGAGAGGATGAGAAAGCAAATAAGCATGAGTCAGGATAAGGAAATACCGGTATATAGGTTTTTGGAGCCCAGAAACAATCTGTGGATGAGACAAATCAGTACTTGAAAGTACCGAACTGAAAAACGACACTATCTTACCAGGCGGGAGTCCTCCATAAATGACGGCACATTCCTTATTTCGCATTTCCAGCTGTCGACTGACATGATAGATGTCGTTCTTCTTGAAACACACAATGCAATCTCCTGGTAGGACATTGTCAAAAGATTCTGTAACAAAGAATATTAGGAGTGACACATAATAATACCACGTGCCCTCCAAATAAGCTGAATGTTGGGCTACAAGATGCTCCCTAGGTATCAGTTAGTCACTCACTTGAGTGAGTTATTTTCTGTTCAGATTTAAAGCTTTGTAAATCAGTACCTTCATATTGATGGATGGAAGCCCCACAATATGCATGTCTTAGATGCTTAAAACTTTGGTGAAACCCACAAGCATGGGTATGGTGCTGACAAATTTATCTAGGATATTTTCCCAGTTACAGGATTCTGTCATACCTAAGGGACACAACTCTGCAGTGAAATGTGAGACCCTTACAACAGGGACACCAGTGATCAACATCAAAATACTGATCCATGGAAAATAGTACAATAAATTTAATGAACATAAGACTTAAGATGCGACTTTCTTTCAATATCTTTAAATTTTTCCCAGTTTGAATTGATATATTTTACATTGTGGATTAATGAAATTTTCAACAAACGAGAAAATCTGAAAATACTCCTGATACTGATGGTAGTGTATTGTGTGAATGTACCTGGGTAGTACAGGGAATTTGGGCTTCAAACCTTGTACATTTGCTTATTTTCATGCCAACTCAAAATAAATTATCACTTTGGTAAGACTTCCGCCCGTATCCCCCTAAATTTTAACGATGAGGAAAAATTCCTTTGAGTGGCATTTTCAGAAGTTGGATATGTCTTTCAGTATGTTCAGTTACAATTAAAGAAACATGTTGAAACTCATCCTTGTCAGATGAGGAATATATACGTTCAGGTGATATGATTTGACTAGAATGAAATTTAAGGGGGCATACAGGGCGGAGTCTTTCCATGACTTCTAAGTCTTCAGTCAAAATTAGCAATGTATCGTACATTTACACACCACATTAGACAAGACTATTTTTAAATTGTTTACAGGGTGTTTATCCTAAAAGAAAAGAGAAACAAACTATAGCCTGAAAAGCTCAGTTCAATGTTTTATTTTACCAAATAATTACTTTCTTTTAAAAAGAAATTGTGCATCCAAGAGGTTAAACAGCTAGGCTGATAAGACAAGTTAAACTCATTCTGCTCATGTAGTAAAGATAACGACAAATTAGAAATGTTTTCAATAAAATATTTCTTTCACCAGGTAATGCACAGGAATTATGCATAAAACATCATAATCAAGAAGAAAAAAAAGGAAAACAAAGGCACAATAATAAAATAATAAATATATAAAAACAGTGGGGCTTTAACTAACTAATGTAAACGTACCAACAGGTTTATTGGTGTAGGTGAGCGTTGTCAATCTTTTGTACTGCTTCACCTTCAAACACAAAAGGCATTTCAGGTAAAATACAAGAAGAGCATGGGACTTTTGATTGTGTAATCCACCTCCCAGTCACAGCCATAAACAGATAAGACAGCTTGGGTGGTCAGGAGCTTACTGAAAAGATACAAATGTGATTTACTCCATAGCTATCCCCAAAACAAAGACAATCAATCTGGTATTGTGTATTCATAGGTACTCCTCACTCTAAAGATTTGCTTTTACAGTCTTAAATCAAAGTGATTTTCCTGCCATTTACAAAAGCAAAGAGAGATGATTTAAGCAAACAAGATCCCCAAACACCCTCATTGCAGTTTTATCATCAGATCCTTGGAGTTAATTTGAGGCTATAATTGGTTTGTAACATTTCTGCTTGAAACATATCAACCAATCAGAAGCCTTCATCTCAGACCTGCCCTCTGACACAGGTCAATATTACAGAGTATCAGCCAATCAGAAACCTCCATTATTCACCAGTCCTGAGTGTTACATTTGACAGACTTCAGTGTTAGAGAGTCTGTATCAAATGTGTGAAGCCCATTTCTGGTGTCCCTTGTTGTGATATTGCAGGAATATTGATAAAAGCAGTGTAAAACCATACTCACTAACACACTGCTACACAACAATGTCCATGTTGACCAACAAGGCCTCACATGTGTTTCCTGCTGAAGTGGTGAGGAATATCAACAGACTGTTCAACCTTAACCTGATCACCTGGACTATTCAGGAAGACAGTCAGCGGGCAACTCTCTCCTTGACTTTCAACAAGGACTTGCCAAGCAGTTCAACGCCATCTAGTGCCTGGCATGAAGCTCCAGAGGTTGTAGATGCACCTCCAAAATACAGCACAGTGATAGACCTGGACCCTGACCAACCACCGAGCTGGACTGATATACAACTCAACGGCCAACCTACTGGTCAGCCAGGAGAGTCTGTGAGTGACCAAGGGACTGTTGAAAGTGGACAAGAATGTGTATTATTGCTGAAAGAAGAATTCAATGAAGGTCAGAATGGTCCAAAGCCTGCCTCCAATCTTACTCCAGAGCCAGACCAATCACAGGTGATTATAGTCACAGATGACCCTATCATGCCAAAGTCTCAGAAACATAAAATCAATGAACCTGCTTCCTCTTTAACCTACAAAACTAAACGGTTACGTTGTACATCAGATAATGTAACAAATAGTTCTCATCTACCAGATTCTGTCTTAACGAAGAGCAGTAAAAGGATGCAACAGGTCAAGAACAAAAGGGGAGATAACTCTACAGAAGACAAAGAAAATGTGGATCCAAATTCTTTGAGTGCTAAAACGACATTCAAAAGTGTGGTCAAAATTGTACGTCAGACAGAGCCAAAAGACAAATATTTGCAAGCAGATGCTAGCAAAATGGTTTTAAAGGAACAACAAAAAGACAAGTACCAAAAATCAAAGAAAAGTGACAAGACACAATTAAAGAGGCAAGCTGATCAACAAAATGAACAGCCTGAACAAAATGAACAGCAAGCTGATCAACAAAATGAACAGCCTGAACAAAATGAACAGCAAGCTGATCAACAAAATGAACAGCCTGAACAAAATGAACAGCAAGCTGATCAACAAAATGAACAGCCTGAACAAAATGAACAGCAAGCTGATCAACAAAATGAACAGCCTGAACAAAATGAACAGCAAGCTGATCAACAAAATGAACAGCCTGAACAAAATGAACAACAAGCTGATCAACATAATGAACAGCAAGCTGATCAACAAAATGAACAGCCTGGCAAATCAACTTCAACTGATCAAAGCACAAGCGAACCAAAAACGAAAAAGCTGAGGTCTACCAACCAAGCTAATGGACAGGTAACGAAGGAGCAAAACAAGTCATCTAACATACCAACAGCCGGATACTATCTGGACATGGCCTGCTTTCACATTGACCATCAACCAAGGAATATTCTTCATTATGACCGTATGTACAGTATAATTGATCATTATGACAACTTCTTCACTCTCATATATAACTCGGTAGTAGATGCTTGGTTTCAAGAGATACCCGGAGACTTTGTTACGCTAGAGTGGCTTGTGACGACTGGTTTCTTCTTGCCCCGGTATATACGCCACCAGGTCACCTTTCGGGTTATAGCCAGAACATTTTGGAATTACAAGAGGAACAAGGCCGTTTCTAATGCAAGGATTAGAAACATTGAGCAACTCCTTGCATGATGTCTGGTGAATATTGTGGTCAGATGCAATGAGACTTCTCTTTCTAACGTAAGTTGATACCTGTTGATTGTATCCTCTTTGTGTCAGAAACAAAATAAAATCAATCTGATATTCCATGTCACGCATTTTAAAAGTTAATATGCAAAAACAAAACTGTCAATTTAACAAAAAGTTTGACACGAAAAATTATTTTTTTGTCTGAATTTTAGGATTGCTTTGAAAAAAAATGAAAAAATGAATGACACCTTATTGACTAAGTCCAATGTAGTTTACTATCCAAATAAACAAACTGCAGTATGGTTGTTGTTTCCGCTGTTGTTTTGCATTAAGTATTTAAGTCATATTGCAACATATCAGCTTGAAATAGGATAAAAGCTCCGAGTGAGGCTGGTCTAAGATATTCTATTACCGGTACTTTGGTGAAACCCGAAGCATGCATTGTTGTTGAAACCTTGAAACATACCAGGGTGAGTCATGGATTTTAAATCCACAATGGGAAGTTTCTGTCATTCCCAAGTGATACAATAATGGAGCTTTCGATGCCATTATGGCCTCTTTTCTTCACATTGGTTTGTTTGTCTGTTGTTTATCCCTGCACTCAGCAATATTCCAGCAATATGGCGACGGTTTGTAAATAATTGAGTCTGGACCAGACAATCCAGTGTTCAACAGCATGAGCATCAATCTACGTAATTGGGATACGATGACATGTGTCGACCAAGTCAGCGAGCCTGACCACCCGATCCCGTTAGTCGCCTCTTACGACAAGCATTGATTACTGAAGACCAATTCTAACCCGGATCTTTATGGTTCCTTTCCTTTAACAGCATGTGTCATGTTTATGAACAACTTCACTGTGTCCACTGTCATCTAATTCACTGGATGATTATTTGTGTTTCCTCGTGGTAAGTCTTCCGCCTGCATCCCCCAAACCAAAAGTTGTTTCAAATGATGCAGTGCTGAGAAGAGGCAAAACATCTTCCACCTTCATTTACCTCGTCCAATATGGCCATATATGATACGTCCATTGCAGCTCATTATTTTCTATTGCTTATATATTTTAGGGAGGGGGATACAGGCAGAAGTCTTTCAAATTTAATTCCAATTGAAATTCTGAATCAAAACGGATTAGAAATGAGTGAGCATGCCGTTTTTAGCAATAATCCATCAATATCATGGTGGGGGACACCAGAAATAAGCTTCACTCATTGCACCCAAGTTGGAATTGAACCCAGGTTTTAAGCGCGATGAGCGAAAGCTTTAACCAATAGGTTACCCTTTGTTCATTCACACGAAGTGATACATTGTTTTCTTACTACCAGACAAAGTAAGTTTGACAAAAATAAAACTTTTGGATAAGCCAACCCCTTTCTGCAGACTGATTTTTTGGTCCTCAAAAACTGGCTAATCTGTGGTCATACTTGGTAATATACGTTTCATGGTGTGTTTGAGTGAAGCCTCGGGGAACCGTTTCGCAAAGAAACTGTAGCACTAAGATGATTGTAGCGCTAAGATGATTGAAACTCCCATACTTTAACATAGACTTACGACAGTCGTAGCGCTAAGGTGATCGTAACTCCCATACTTTAACATAGACTTACAACTGTCGTAGGGCTAAGATGATCGTAACTCCCATACTATAACATAGACTTACGACAGTCGTAGCGCTAAGATGATCATAACTCCCATACTTTAACATAGACTTACGACAGTCGTAGCACTAAGGTGATCGTAACTCCCATACTTTAACATAGACTTACGACAGTCGTAGCGCTAAGGTGATCGTAACTCCCATACTTTAACATAGACTTACCACAGTCGTAGTGCTATGATCATTTTGTGGAACAGTGGATACAGTGTCCGCCCAGGGAGAGGTCACTGGTTCTGTTCCCGGCAGCCTCACACCAAAAGACTTTAAAGATGGTACTTGTTGTTATGCTGCCTAGCTTACGACATTAAGGCGATAACATAAAGACTATACGTTGCGTCTTAGTGAGGTATTGATATACTGTGGAATGTACCTCTGCGGCTATACATACAATAAAACCCAGCATAATTCCACACCTGCACATGCAGATGCAAGCGCTTGCGCACACACACATACGTCCATGCACATTGCTATGTAAGTGCATTAATGTTGAATGACCCTATGGTACATGGAACAAATGGTATGTTTGAGAGTACACTTTTTCAGTTAAGTGCAAATTTTGGTCAATATCTGGGGCTGAACCCAATCCACATTTTGAAAACACACTAAATCACCTTATCACCTGCCAAAAAAGGTATTATCTGACACATCTCATGCCAAATTTGACTACTTTCTAACTAGCATTGTGTATTTATAGCTTTCAGCCATTGGACCCCTGCAAAGTTTCACTTGTCAGAAGGGTACACAAATTAATTGAGTGAGAGAGTGAGCGAGCTAGTTTTACGCCAGCAATATTCCAACTATATGGCGGTGGTCTGTAAATAATCGAGTCTGGACTACACAACCCAGTGATCAACAGCATGAACATCGATCTAAGCAATTGGGATATGACGGCAAGACTACCAGTTGTCTGACTTACATCTTATAGAAGGCGCAGTAGCTGGATAGGTCATATTGTTCACTTAACAGGTGATTAATTGTCTCATTCTAAGAATATGGACTTGGATCCAAGATGGGAGTAAACCCAAAAAGTCTGAGTGAGTGAGTTTAGTCTTACACATTGTACTAACTCGATGATGTCTCTTCACATGTATTGGATATTTTGTTTATACATAAATTATTAAAAACATTTGGAAAACATTAGCCTTATCACAACCAACAAAACCATAGGTACCGAAGCTCACCTTCAAAAGGGGATATGACAATTGGAGTAGTGAGGATGTGTTATAACCCAAAATTGGCTTCAAACCAAACTACACAACTCTTATATCCAGTCTGTAGCTATGTGTAGGCGGACCATGAATAATGGATATTGCATGAGGGAAAAATGTGACCCTTCATGCGTGATGTACGCCATTCGTTGACGGATACATCATAGTTCAATAGACATGTGAACTATTAATTTTACACTTCCAAATTTTGTTCAGTTAAATTTAAACAATATTAAACTGAGCAAATTCAATTAAAGAAATCCAAATTCTCCCAACTGTAAACAAAAGACTGTTCACTTCTCTGTTCAGCCACAAAGATAAGACATAGTTCGGTAAACAACAAAATCAAGACAACACATTTTATTGTCATGGTGTGAATAAGATCAACACTTATAATAATATCTAACAGGCAATTCTTTAAGTTTTAGAGTAAACATCAAAACTGGATGCTGTGCATGAATACGTAACAACCATAAAACATGGTGTAAAGAGAGAAAGAAAAGATTAAAGAGAAACAAATCCATTACAGTGTCAATAAGCATGATTACTGGTACCATTGCCAGTCGAGTGAAATAAAGTCATTTGTACATAAAATATCAGTTTTGAATGCTACCAACTTTTAATTTGAGTGTTCTGAACAGAGGTAAACTTGCACCATGCAAGGCATTGACTCAACACAACATAGACAGTCTCACTCACTCACTTAATGTTGCTTCTCGGAATGACGCAGCAAGCTGCTGTTTGGCAAGTAGTTCTTGCAAAGTGATAATATATTTCACTCCACAAACACTTTAAATTTCTGTCACTGAAGTGAAAATATCTATTTCCTCAAAATCATTAATCTGTTTTCACAGTTAAGTATTAAATATACTAGTTTCTGGGGAAAACACAGAGAACATAGCTACCTACTATAGTTTTCAGTCCATGCCATTCTGTGCATGGCTGTGAAACTTAAATTTATTTCAACAAACTCAGATAAACAAATGGATGCAAAATTGTAAACCTGCACTTGCAACTAGCCTTACAAAGCCTACACACTCAAGGAAAATCTCTCAATCAACTGTCAATCAGATCAGCTTGTGGACAGGCTTGGACAAATGATAACCAATTGACCATTGCATTAGTCAAACAAAAGAATCCTTCACCAGCTTACAAGCTGACTGGTGGTCCTTGTTGTGTCAGGATATCCTGTATCATGTCAACATTCTGTACAAAATACAAACATTTCACAGTCCACCTTTTAACAAATTAATTACCAAATATTAGTCCTATTGCTAGAAAGTAATTGAATACAAAAGAATGTTATTGAATTGAAAGTTCTTGTCATGAAAGGTTCAACATTACACATGAATGATGTTAGCCAATGAAAACTCTTCAATTTTATCCAATCATGTGCTATGTTAAATATATCAGCCAATGGGACCTGTTCACCTGTATCATTAGGCCTGGAGCTTGACAATTGAGCCAGATTTGTTCAGACATCACAACAATGTCCATCCTAGTTGACAAGTCCTACAATGTTCTGCCTGATGATATTGTGTGGAACATCACCAGACTGTCAAAGTTTAATCTGCTTTCCTGGAAAATCACTGAAGGAGCAAAGGAGGCCAGTATCTTGATGTCTTTTGACAAAACTGTGTTAAATGCAAAATATTCTCAAACACTGAAGAGTAAATATAAAAGTTTCAAGTCCTCAGTTACTGAATCAAGCTTATTGAAGAAACTGGATGAAGCACCACTGGAATTTGACCCGCACAGTCCAATAAAAAATCCTGTTGTCCAAATGAAACTGAAGGACAGAAGCAAACAAAAAGATTCAGTGTCTGAAGATGAACTAAGAAAAGAAAGCAGACATCTTCATAGAGATATGAAAAACAACATGGCCGACAGTCAGTCTCCATCAACTGACACTGATCCTATTTCTGGATCTGAATCAGTTACAAAGCAGATGCAAGTCACTGAAGAAACATTATGTGGAGAGACTACTGTCAAGCAAGAACCTGTTTCACCATCATCTCTCAAGATTCGTATCAACAAGGAATATGAATCCACACCATCGGACAATATGTTGGACTGTGTCAAGGTCGAATCAAATTCCCCTTCAATCGAGCAGACGTGTGGTCATAAGGACTATTGTGATTCTGATAAGGAAAATTCTAATGAAAAGTGGCCAAGAGAAAGGGTGTGTTTTAAATTCAAGCCCAATACTGTAAGCACTGTGCTTACAAAGAACAACACAAAGAAAGCAGATCCTGTTACCAGCAAAGAGCCTAGTAAGCCAATCAATAAACAGACACGAAGTAACCAAGTCATCAAAGACAGGAATGATCAGAGAGATGAAATGGAAGCAGCTGATGTGAATGTTACAAAGATCAGAGAAGAGACCCAGACCAAAACAACACCCCCATCTACTGACAATTTGACCAAAACATTTGCCAAACTGACCATGAATCCCTCAGACCACTTGACCAAAAGAGACATACAAGACACAAGAGATTCAGATAAGGACACGGTTTCCAAAAAGTCAGACTCACAACAAGACAAAGGACCAAGGTACAAAGAAACAGTGAGATACTTCCTGGACAAAATCAAACGGAACATCGACTATGATCCAAAGAGGATGGAGAAGTATGACATTATCTACAGCATCAAGGACAGCGAGGATCACACCAGCTTCTCCATCAAGTACGTCAAGGAACGGAAGAACAGGGCACCAACAATAGTAGATCCGGTTTCACTAGACTGGCTGCACACCAATGCTGACATAATACCCCTTTACACATGTAGACAAGCGACGTACAGAGTTCTCAAGAGAGACTTCGCTGGTTGTGATCCTTGTGACATTGTTCCACGAGAAAAGAGAAAACTCATCAAAGAGCTGCTTGACTGACAACTGGTGTTGTCTTGTATATAAATTATTTATTTGAAGGTTTGCGGTGACTAAGAATTATCATGTCATATTTGTGTAACTGTGATTCAGAGTATTTTTGTCAAATTCAAATATTGGGAGCATATACTCAGTTACATCTATTGCACTGGTTTTGTTCACTTAGTTTTTTTAAAAGCAATCACATTTGGTAATAAATTCTGCAATGATTTTATTTGTTTTGTGTATTTGAAAGTGATTGAGCTGGATTTAACGCCACTTTGAATGGTACTTCCCGTTATATCACAGCATGTCAGCTTGAGGCAGAAACAAAGCTCAAACGTTTACAACTTTAGTAAAACCCTTAAGTACAAGTCAGGTGCTGACATATCTTGATGCATAATAAAAATACCAGGATTTGAATCCACAATCATAGGTTTCTGGTGTGCCCAAGGGACACAACTCTGCACATCGAAATGTGACACCTCGACTGGACCACCATTTTCAAGAAGTGAGTGAGTTTCGCTTTATGCCGCTTTTAGCAATGTTACAGCAATATCTCGGCAGGGAACACTAGAAATGGGCTTCACACACTGTACCCATGTGGGGAATCGAACCCAGGTCTTTGGAGTGACAAGCGAACGCTTTAACCACTAGGCTACCCCACCGGCCCCCTTTTCAAGAAAGCATTCAAACGTTTAGATCATGTACATGTACAAGATCCCTAAAATCTTGTATGTTTAAAAGACATTTTTCAAAAGCAAAATTAATACTTATTACGCTAAAAGTGAGTGAATGAGTATGGTTTTACGCCGCTTTTACAAATTGTACACATGTGAGGAATCGAACCCGGGCCTTCGGCGTGACGAGCGAATGCTTTAACCACTAGGCTACCCCATCGCCCCTACACTGTAAGAAATCTCTAGCATAATTTATCCAAAAGCATTTTAAGAGGTTCATGTTATGGCATTAGAAATTCAATGTAAAGCACATGTTAAACATTGGAAGTCAGCCATTTTGAGCACATACCTCCATCTCGTCTCCTGTGGCTAGCGTCATCTCCTTCACCAGATCAATGGCTGTTCCCTCCCCACACACGTGGACCTCATCTGCATTCAGCCCCAGAAGGGATCTCTCAATAACTGCCACTTCATCCATGCCCAGACGTGCCTCGGTTTGGGTCCCCATCATCTGAGATCTCAGCGGTGAAGCAATAACTGCCACTTCATCTGTATGGAGATTAGGGATGTCAACATACATCATAGTAGTCGTGTACTGATACATTTGTAACATCAATTGAGCATCAATACAAGTTTATGAGATTCGATACTACCTGATACATTAATTAATCACTGCCACTTAATCATTTCTATTTATTGAGATTAATGATTAACTGGGACAATGAAAAGGCAGAAAAATAAACTTTAAACATTTCATGTGTCAGTCTAGTTCATATTTAGCACTAAATTTATTAATTGCAGGTATTTTTTTATCTGCGTGTGAACCATGTAAACCATCTAACTTTATGTGGGAAGACAGTGTCAGGAGCCAGGAGGGTCAGGCGCCATGACTTTCTTGTTACCATGACAACATTCATCCCATTAACAGACAAACACTAATGTTAACACCCATCCTTTTACTTAATGATTTAAGGATTATTTTAAGCAGTACTATGTATTCTATCTACATGTATGCTTCATCAAGAGCATGAATCGAACCCGGTACATGGTATAGCTAACCAGGGGCCATCTCCACGGTACATGATTTAACGATGACTGGCAGGGGTATGTATTCTATCTACATGCTGATAGCATATCTCTTCTCCTCCCCAGTCACCATGTCATGCCACGGAGTTCCTGAAACACATGGCAGACCAAGAAACCCAGTCACATAATGAAACACATCAGACACAGAAATATAATACAATCGGAGTGAGTTTGGTTTTACGCCACTTTTAGCAATATTCCAGCAATATCACGGCGGGGGACACCAGAAATGAGCTTCACACATTGTACCCATGTAGGGAATCGAACCCGGGTCTTCGGCGTGACGAGCGAACGCTTTAACCATCAGGCTACCTCACCGGCCCCTAATACAATCGGAACTTGGAAAAATTACTCAGAGATAGTGACTTGATCATATGTTGATAACATTCAAGTTACTATCAGACTTTAACAAATAGAATTGCAGTGAGTAGACTGGATCCTGTCACTGGTGCAGATGCTTGCTAGACAAGAAGCGGCAAGCATTAGGGACAGGAGCCAGTCTAAACCAGTGAGGCATTAGTTTTAAGGGTGGGTACTCTTAAATCTGTTGTTAAACCCACATAACTCCCAGCAGCAATTCATGTTATTTCAACAGTCTAAGTAAACTTAGGCTCAGTATTATTCGTTACATTGCTATACTGAGTCTAACAAAACCTAGTGGAAGGTCGCGTCAGGTAACCTTTGAGCGACCTATGACCATCCAATCAAATGCAAGACGGCTGAATGGATTTAACCAATCAGACAACGGCTACTATTTAGGGTTTGGCGGGACTTACAAAATGGATTTTCTCTCTGGTCGCCAACACTGATCTCATAACAAATAAAAACCTGCATAGAACACAGATATATGACCTGCAGAATATATGCTTTTGGGTTTCTGTTGACATGGCTATCATTAGCTAATATTTCCGAAAGCTGACATCCTTGAATACTGACAAAACGCTATTTTCAGCAACTGTATACTCACTGTTGTGGCGTGCTCCACGTGCATCACTCGGATGCGATCGTACGGAAAATAGTATTGGAATCGTTCGGGTACAAAACTTTTTCGAGGTAAAAGTTCAAAAGGTATGTGCGAATGTCAACTTTTCGCGATTTGGTAAGCTGTGTTCTGATTGGTCCATTGAAAAGGTCAGCTGACGTGACCTTCCACAAGGTTTTGTTAGACTCAGTATAGCAGTGTAACGAATAATACTGAGCCTAAGTTTACTTAGACAGGTTATTTCAAGACACACTTAAAAACATGATGGGGCTATGACTCACAGCTTCATTACTCTTGTGGAACACCTCGGACACCAAAAGTTTGAGAGGTCCGCAGTAAATACCGGACTTGCCCGTCAGGTATCTCTGCAGAGCATGGTAGGTTTTCCCGCTGTTGGTTGGACCCGCGTGGTAGACGATCTTCCGTTGTTTTCTCCGAGTTTCAGGGTACCTAGCAGAGTCAACAGATCAAACAAAAGACTATGGTGATATCTTCTTAACATTGAGGCCAGAGATGACTGAATACTTGCCAAGTCATTCAGTTATTTTCAGATCAGCAAAGTCAAATGTGTAACACACATGATTCAATACTGGACAGAGTGAGTGACTGTAGTTTTACTCTGTCTTTAACAATATTCCAGCAATATAACGGTGGCTGCCACCAGAAATGGGCTTCACACATTGGACCAATGTGGGGTATCAAACCTGCATGACATATGGGTATTCAAATCAATCTGGAGCTTCATGGCGCTCTCAAGAATGTTCTGCTATAAAATAGTAGGTTGTAAATAATCGAGTCTGAACCAGACAATCCAGTGGTTGATATAATGAGCAATGGTCCATCTGGGCAGAATACAATGCTATCAACCGAGTCACCAAACCTAACCATCCAATCCACAGAGTCACGTCTCATGACAAACATGGTTTGGAAAATGTTCTAAACCGCAATCCCCATGGGAGATAACTCTATAAAACACAAGGTCTTCCCATGGTCAAGAGGCCCAGTTGTCTGATTGACCTGACCGATGGCTCACCAGTTAGCCGGCTGGCGCAGATCGCTGATCTTCTTCAAATCTTCCATGCAGTCAAGGTGTGGAAATACAATTCTAGCATGATCCAAGAAATATGGAAATAGATCATCTACATGACCTGAAAAACAAACGCTGTGTGTTAGATGTCTGAATGGGTATTTATCATAATTGGGAACATAACGTCACAAACGTACATAAGATTTCTGAACAGTCAGTCAGCATCAAAACTTCTAAATTCTCAGTTCAAGTGTGCAATACATGCAACACGTATATCTGATTTCTACTCAAAATTCTAGAACAATCAGTGCAGTTCTTAAACAAATATGATAAACATAGTTGTGAAAATATCTTATGCATCCTGTCATTTTGGACCAAATGAAAACATACTGTGTAACACAAATTCATATTTATGTCCTCATGCCCAAGCTTGTTTTTTCTTTTTTTAAACCATATAACAATTAAACTGTCTAAGTATCAATCCATGCATTTAATACACAAGTAATCCATAAAAGCAGCCATTATGACCACCAGATCCCCACTTTTATGCTTCTAACATCAATAACTGGTACCTGCAGCCTAGTTTGTCTTCTAATACCATGATGTCAGGAATGGTGAATATGTCTTTGTAAAAACACATTTCACTCTCACTACTGCTGGTTATTTGTTTGTTGTTTAACGCTGCACTCAGCAATATTGCAGCTATATGGCAGTGGTCTGTAAATAATCGAGTATGGACCAGCCAAACCAGTGATTAACAGCATCAGCATCGTTCTAAGCAAATAGGATATGATGACATGTGTCAACCAAGTCAGGGAGACTGATCATTTCGATCTTGTTAGTTGCCTCCTACTATCATGATTATGACATGCATGGGTTACTGAAGACCAATTCTAACAGGTCTGTAACAACTGTGAGAAATCAGCATGCTTATGATTCAACCTACCGGCACCCTGTGAAATATCACTGAAGACGATGTGCAGATCGACTGGAAGAGTCTCAGACTCCACACAGAAGCCTCGAAAACTGACATAAGATGTGTGAAACAACCGATCTGCAATGAAGAACAAATATGGCTTCAGAGATGGCAATATACCCCATCAGAAATCAATCTGTGTGTTCATACACTTCAAGTATTTTATTTGAAACCAAATGAACTGAAAATAGAACAACAGTAATTCTAAAAATGTTATAATATAAGAACATTTCTTAATCATTTTTAATAACAAAACATGTAAACCTCTGCAACAGTTTCAGTTTAAAGTAGTGTTGGGAATTGGTTGAAATCTCATAATTGATGATTGGTTCATTACAACCGATCAATCATCGAAAATAATTGGTTAGCGTCATTTATTAAATTTTCCTGGTTATGTTTGTTAATGCACAAAAAATAAAGAAAAACATGTAGTTCTTTCGTTTTTTTGCAAATTGCACAAAATGCATTTGCAAATTTCACATCTTTAAAGGATGACTAGTATATTAGGAACATGAACTTCATGGAGTCTTTAAAATAAATTCAATCATGAACTGGAAGAGCTTGTAGTGCTAATGAAATGTAACAGACAAAACCAACCTTGTGAAAAATATCGTTATTGCAAACAAGTGTTCCAAAATTATTTGTGTTCGATTATCAGAAAACATGATCGATTGCTTGGTTGTTTTGTCATTGCGACCAATCTTCGATTATTTCAATTAATCGGACCACCACTAGTTTAAAGAGGAAGCAATATTCACTCATTATACCCAAGTAGGGAATCAAACCTGGGGTTTCACAGCTTTAACCACCTGCAGATCCCTCCGCCCCTTGTCTGCTTGAGAATGGCATGTAGTATTTAATCTGATGGTTTGCGGCAAGTATGAATTAACTTGAAAACTCTTTCACTAAAATTATGACAAAACAGTGTTGTTGAAACAGATAAATGTTCCTTACTGTCAAGCCCATTTTCTTGAGCAAGTTTGCGGATTTCTTGACGGCGATAAAAGTCACTTAGTGCCTTCAGAATATCCTCTGAAACAAAATTTTACATTGCAACAAAACATTAACTATACACAAATATGTGCTCAAAACCACTTCCAAATACAACCGAACTAACAAATTCCTTTTTAATTTAGATCATACACATAAATATATCTCCTACATGAAAGGTGAAAGCAACAAGTCTGTGACCTTCTGGTCATCATGCCACTGCCGTTTACATAATCATATATTTCATGTACAGTTATGCTAATGCTGCATGTCATTACTGTGTATCACAATAGGGTGGGCGAGTGAGTGAGTGAGTGTTGATAATAGTCCACAAAGGGTGTTCAGGCAAATGCTTGATGGAATGTGAGTCTTAAGAGATGTCCGGAAAAAAGAGTAGGCTGGAGAAGTATGTCATTCTTGAGGGAGAATGTGAGTGAGTTTAATTTTACGCCACACTCACCAATATTCCAGCTATATGGTGGCTGTCTGTAAATAAGCAGGTCTGGACCAAACAATCCGATACGATGACATGTGTCAACCAAGTCAGCGAGCCTGACTACCCGATCCCATTAGTTGCCTCTTACGACAAGCATGGGTTGTTGAAGACAAATTCTAACCCGGGTCTTCACGGGTAGCCATATTCTTTAAGCTCATACAACATAGTAGAGGGGTCACTGAAGGCTGTGTCTGTGTGATCCACATTTACATCCCTTATAATGACATAACATAATCTTATTCTGGGGTTAACAGCCCCAATATACATTCTGAAAATAAACAATATTACAGTTTAAGCCACTGAATTACTTAGGTAAAAGCTATTAACATGATCAGTGCATTATCATCAATGAAGCATACAACTTTAGGTATAACAACTTCTATTTTATTACATAGTGCAACATTTCGGAGTGGGTTCTGAAACCATTATGTAATATGAAGCTAAGAGTGACTACAACCAAGTGATGAGAAGTATATATACATAGTATGTTGTGACAAACATCAGATTAACATAACAACAGCAGGTAACTGAATAACAAGTTGTACATAATTGGATGAAGCCAGGTGGGGAGTAAGAACAAAATGGCGGTCCATGAAGCCAATAAGCAGGAAGGATTAATACTCAAACCAGTAAAAACAATTCGAGGGCAGCTTTGCCAGAAAGTAATTGAAAGTAATTAAATAAATGCTTTTCAGTTAGAATAATAATCCTAAGGCTTTTTACCTATTGCCAATGTTGTGTACATGCCATGGGTGTAATTTCGTTTATCTGCCATTTTATTTTCCCATTATATGCACCTGAATCGAATGGAGGCACCTCATTTTGTTATTTGTTTTTTTTGGGTGTGTGTGTGCGTGCATGCATGCGTGCATGCGCGTGTGTGTGTACTTTTTTTATGTAACCACATGCTGTCCATGTTGTTGACGGTGTGCCTTGCCTTGCAATGCCTGTACGAGAAATACTGAACTGCCAGTATATAACTTGGAGCACTTTACTTATACCAGTAACACTGTTATAACTACTTCCGGTTGTTGTATATAGGAGCTAGTCTAACCATAACCCTGACCCTTAAGCTTCCTTCGATCATGCACAGAAAATATGTTTAGTGGTACCGGTATAAGTAAATCTTCCTAATATAACTTGATTAGCTCTCCGTTTTCGATGTTATCCATAAAGTTGTATGCTTCATTACTGACTCACCAACTTCTAGAATGCCGATAAAACAATTAGTATTGTCATCCTTTGAATTTTACTCCACTAAATCATGAACATGATGAAATTGTTTTTTATTGCCTATGTATGTGTAGTGATGAGTGTGCAATAACACGAACATGTGACAAGCATATATAAGGTTCATATTTCTAACCACATGGACCAGAGAACCTTTCATGATGAACAGCTGATGAAGATAAGATAAATGAAAATAATATAGCGAAAATAACCTTTTGAATATTTACCGAAGGTGTTTTATTTATATCTAATAATATGTCCACAACAAACCTTTCTTCAAGATTCCAGCAAGTTCAGCACCAACATTTATGTCATCAGTCCTGTCTGACGGATTTAACTTTATAGGTTGAAAGAGTGAACTCAGATCCTTATTTTTGCCGTTTGTTCGGTGTCTTTTGCAAAACACTAAAATTGATGGAGGTGACGATAAAACCTTTGGCGAAATAAGCATAAAATGTTTATGTTTTAGGTATTTAAGAAATAATCTGGGACTACAACGAGTAGTAAATGCCATTTCGGTTGTTGTCACGCCAACTCCATCCGTGAATATGTAAAAACAAACAACGTAAACAGCTATCTGACGCCGCCAGCAACTTTTGTCATGCTGTCAGTTATTTCTTATGGAGGCTGACATATTGACTGTTGTATTATGGGTAAATGTTTCTAATTTTATTTTTTAATGTGGAATCTACTCAGCATGTGATTTTGACAAAAATGTAAATTGTATTGCTCTTAACATATTGTTATATATGATTTTGATAATAATTCTTTCATTATAAACAACCGGAAGTAACCGATATCATTTCGAAAGCAGTCGCGGCAAGTCTAACATAACAATGACAGCTGCACTGTAAACAACGCATTTATTTAATGGCAGAATGGCCTCACAGGTATAGCGACAGTTAAAAGAGATGTCATTTTCTGATAACATTCGATTAGCTGTCATACATACAGGTTGCTATACGGCTAACAAGATTAAATGGAAACGCAACCAGGTTGTCCAGTTGACTCGACTGTGCACAAGTTTGGACGTGTTTTACGTAGACCGCAAGCAACATTTGCTCGCATGTAGGCACATGCTTTTCGAAGAAACATCGTCTCTTTCGAAACCATGCACTAATTTACCAAAATAATTATATCAGTGCACTTATGTTTGTTTAGCAGGAGTAGATTAGCTCACTGACTGTTAAGATGCATGATTAGACAGGAACGAGCTGGACACTCACCGGTTACACATATTTGGTAAATTATTCTCAGATGCTCTGTTCAGCTGAAATTCGAACTACAGGAATTACAGTAATAGGGCCACAGTGATTTCTAGTTTTGCATCGGATGGATAATAATGGATACATATTGTTGATGCATATGATTTTTTTCAGGTTGATACAAGCAAGTGGTTTGAATTAACTGAAGATTCAGACTCGGATGATGGCCATCAACATAAACATCATGTGACATGTCCTTCTGTTGACTGGGACTATGATCCAAAGTCAAGTCTCCGTCTGAGTGACCCAACACTCAGTCAACACACACTGGAGCAAAGTCAATTGTTTGACTCTTTTGGTGACAAGTCCAAACATTCAAAAGTTTGGGACCCAACTCTCAGTCAGTATACCTTAGGAAAGAGTCAGTTGTCAATGTCTTCATCAAACCAGGAGAAAATGGATACCACAGGCTGTAAAAAGGTGGATGTTGAAAGCTTGAACTTGCAGGTAACAGATTTTCTTTGTAATCAATGTGGTCTCACTACATAATAGTATCATTGCGTCCTCCTTTACTTCTTAATGTGGACATGATGAAGTTATGGACAATATAACAAATCACATCAAGTGTATTATGCATGTTGTGTATATGTTATTTGTAGGTGTTTGAAGTTGTTTCAATCTCGAACTTGTATAGGTTCTCAATGTATCTTGATGCAATATATTGCATCCATTCCTCATACAAGTTATAACAGATCTAAATGATGTTTAACATGAGTCCTGTTATGCAAATATAAATAATATCTATGGCTATATATTTTTTTAATCAACACTGAGATTTCTTGTTCCATCTACTCAGATATCACATATTGGTAAGAGTTCCTTATGTACCCCCCAACTCATTTTTAACTATAAACTATAGACTAAACTATAGTGTTTGCTCATCACAAAAATTGGCGGGAACTCTTTCCTGAGCCTATGTGTTCTTATGCATGCAAGTGGAACTGGTCTTCAGTAAGCCATGCTTAATGAAAGAAGTGACTAACAGCATCGGGTGGTTAGGTTTGCTCAATTGGTTGATGCATGTTATGGTACCTCAGTTGTGTAGATCAATGCTCAATCACTGGATTGTCTGGCCTAAACATTAATATTAAGAGACCCCTGTCATATAGCAGGGGTTTTCCTTGATGTGGTATTAAATAATGAACTATCGGATTCTAGCCGAGCTGTTTGATGATGATGAATCGATGATTATGATGATGATGATGATGAATTAAACATCAAGCTGCCCTTGACATTCTTAGTTATAAAGTGACTGTTCAACATGTTCAATTTATAAGCAGTTAAGCTACATTTAGTTCTATTTCCTGTTCAAGGTATTATTATTGATACAATCACAAATGACAGTCATTACCTTCATTTGACAAATTGTATGGTGATTATGGTCAAGATGGTCAAGCTGATGGGTTTTGAGACAAGTTAGATGTTGACATGGTGACCCTGATGTGTGTTGTGTTCAGTTTCAGACCCTTCTGGCTGATGACAGTCAGGATGACGAGTCCACTCAGCTGTCGTCTGCTTCAGACCAGCAGCTTGGTTCATCCATGGATGATCCTTGGAAGTCAACAACAGAAGCTTCTGAAGGTACACTTACATTGACATTTCAAAATCGTTGTTACATAGTCCATTGACATTGACATTGACAATTCAAAATCGTTGTTACATAGTCCATTTTGAATAATGCATCATCTACTGACTTGTTATTGTATATTTACCCAATATTTGTGAGATGTTTCATAGTGGATTAGTTGCAACACACATTCCTTGCTGTCTTCATACGATTAGACTGAAATGCTGTTCAAATAATTTCAAAGCAGTATTCGATCCTGCTTTCCTAGATTGTTAATAAATGTTAATGATCATGTTGATATAACCATAAATTTAACAATTCAATCAGGTTCTTAGCTTCATATGTATTCAACATGTTCAATCACATCATTGCGAATGATACAACAAAGATTACAAACTTTATCTTTGCTTGGTCTCCTGTTTGTTTGTAAAATGATTAACTATAGTTATGAAGAAAACGTGTTGTCTTTAACTACTTTGAGTAGTGTATAAACTCCTCTGTGTACACTAGTGTTGGGAATAAATCTCATAATTGATGATTGGTTCATTACAACGATCAATCATCGAAAATAATTGGTTAGCGTCATTTATCCAATTTTCCTGGTTATGTTTGTTAATGCACAAAAAATAAAGAAAAAACATGTAGTTCTTTCGTTTTCTTTGCAAATTGCACAAAATGCATTTGCAAATTTCACATCTTTAAAGGATGACTAGTATGTTAGGAACATGAAGTTCATGGAGTCTTTAAAATAAATTCAATCATGAATTGGAAGAGCTTGTAGTGCTAATGAAATCTATCAGACAAAACCAACCTTGTGAAAAATATTGTTACTGCAAACAAGTGTTCCAAATTTGTTTGTGTTCGATTATGAGAAAACATGATCGATTGCTTGGTCGTTTTGTCATTGCGACCAATCTTCGATTATTTCAATTAATCGGACCACCACTAGGGTACACTATATGTTTTGTAATTTATTTAATTTTGTGTTCAGGTGCAAGCTTGAGTGAGTACCCCCTGGAGAGCCTGAGGCTATGTCTGGACGACATGGGACAGTCTGACACAAAGGACAGCAGTGGTTGTGAGGAGGATGTCAACACTGCCATATCAGAAGTGTCGAAGAACTTCATCACAGGCAATCTCTCGTCCTACCCACTCCAGTGTGGAGATAGTGACTTGTCCTCTGATGATCAAAAGGTTCACCAGAAATCCATGGAAGGCAAATACCCTGAGACTGCCTTCGGCATGTCTGACAGCGACTGGGTGACGGAGTCTGACACTAATGTCAGTCCGAGGATGGAGAAAAGCAAGACAACGGAAAGCACCTTCACCTCGATGTCTTCGTTCTCCCCTCCCCTCTCTAGCACAGTTTTAACAAACATGAGCGTAGCCTCGGCTGCCCAGAATCATGGACTGTCTGTGATCCAGGAAGCTTCTGTTGACAACACTGCCAGCTTTAAGGAAATGCCCAAAGATCTGTCCACTGTGTCGACATCAAGAGGTAGTTTTTTGGGCAGGGATCATGAGACAAAATATCTTGACTCCATAAGCACAAAGCAGAGTTTATCAGTGCCATCTCTTGATAGTGTTAAATATGTCCAGGATCTGAAGGATCATAAGAATGAACTCCTTCAAGATGGAGGTTCCAGAAGTCAAGCTGCTGGGGCTGGATATGCAGATGAGTTTCTGTCCAAGTCGACAGAAAGGGAACGGAGGTTTGATGACAAGAGTCTTTCTTCCACATCAGTATCTACCAAGTTCAAGTCTTCAGATGCAGTACCCAGGACAGAAGGGACATTGTCATCTATGGATGATGGACAGTCACGGTATGATCCGTCTCATGTGGAGGCACAGAGGATGGGGTTGTCACAGGATAGGCTTAGACACAGTCTGGACAATCTGCCAAGCACTGTAGACCTAGCTAGGAAGTCTGAGATGATACTAGACAAGACTCTATCCAAGCTCAATCTAGGTGGATCAGGAGAGGGAAGACATTCATTCCCTCTGGCTGGCCATGGAAGTGTGGTTGGAGATGACTACAAACGACTCTCCCTGGGACGTCTTGAGAGTAATCTATACACTGCACCAAAATCTCATTCAAGACAGGAAGAGTTAGTGAAGACTCTGTCAGGGTCGACACTGTCGTACCAGAGTGATGAACTCACTCGCTCCATCAAGTCCCTGAGCTCCGAGGGCTCCAGCTCTGCTGCTAGTGATGAAGTTGCCAGACTGATGGCCAGAAGCGGTAGCTCTGCTGATACAACAATGTCTAGAGGAGATGAGCCTGACGCAAAAGATGGTTGTCCAGAGTCAACAAAAATTAATCTTACTCGTGAAGGAAGACGGTCTGAACCATCTCAAGAGGAATGTGATGTTGAATCTAGAGTCAACAAAGTCTTGGCTGAGACTGCTTATATTAACACATACTCTTCTGATGCTTTAGAAAACAGGAGTTCTAATTACAACACTCATTCCTTGCCTCTTCCTAGAGAAAATACCCAGATGACAGCTGACAATTATTCCCTCCCCCCACCCCCACCGGTTGTTCCACAGTCAGTCAGCTCTGACCTGCCTCTCCCACCTCCTCCCCCACCCCAGGGAGAGGAACTGTCTGCCAGTCTGGACTACAGGAGACTGCATCAGGACCTTCAGGAAATTCAGAACAGTTTGCAGAACAATCTCGACTTTGCCGACTCTGGGAATGAGTCTGTTCAATCTAATGATGTAGACAGGGAAAGGGAAGCTCGGACGCCTGTTGGTTCGGAAACTGGGAGTGAGATTGTTCCGAGCACCACTAACACACCTGAGCAGAGTCGCCGTCTTCTTTGGGATTATGGTGCAGATATTGCTTGTGAGGGAAATCAAAGTGGTCGGTTCACATCTAGAGACACTGACGCCACAGAAACTGACCCTGAAGATCATCCAAGGTCTTATGTAGATAGAGCTCAGGTTGCCCAGAATGTTGCTAAAAGACAGAGCTATAATTCGGAGGGTGAGGAGACTCATACTTCAGGTAGCAGCAACACAAAGGATGCAGCCCCAGCTCAAAGCACGGATGATGAACAGACAAGCAGGACGGGAACCCCAACCAATCGCAGTGTTGACAACATACTGTGTTCCTTCCGTGCCCAACGGTCTCTGATAGAGGCTCAATACTTGACCGGCATGGCAAGCCAGGTATCCCAGATCCTAGAGGGTCAGGACCCCCACAAACAGGCACATGGCATCCTTGACCAAGTCAACAGCCAGGAACAGGAGCTACTGACCAGACTGGCAAATCGACCTCCTCTTGATTCCAGCTTCACAGACACGTCTCTGAATGCCTCCAGCAGAAGTATCGTCCTCACGGACAGTGATGTCAGGAAGAGGCTGGAAATGTCGGGGCTTAGCTCACCCGACAGGAGCAGAACCTTTGGCCACGCGTCTTTTACTGAATTTTCGACTCCCAAAAAGATAAATAACCCTTTCGCAGCTTTCAGTAATGCCAAGAGTTTCCTTTCGAATCAGCTCCAAGAAATGTCCAATAAGACCTTCGACCACAGCATAGAGCTGAGGACACCACTGCGTCGTGTGGTTGAGTGCTACCCTCTGTACGGGTTCAGTAAGGATAGAGAAGATAAATCAGCAAGTTCAGACCCAGCACAGTCAGATTCCAGGACAGATACAAGACAGGCTTTGTCGACCGAGTCAGTGCACAGCAGAGGGGGCAGGTATGTTCTTGTACAAATCAATTTAACCCCACATGGGTACAATGTGTGAAGCCCATTTCTGGTGTCCCCAGCTGTGATATTGCTGGAATATTGCTAAAAGCTGCACGACACCATAACTCACTCTTCAGTTAAATTCCATACTTGAATTGTTGAACATGTGATATCACAATACACAGCAAGATAGTAAATGGCTGAGTATGTGGGACATTTTCAATATGGCTGCCATGGAGGCATGTTTAAAGTCAGATCAGACGACATAAGCTCACTTGACTTTCAACTGTGCATTAATCTACAGCATTATGTGTAACATGTCAAATACCGTAATAGGATAGACATGATTGCCACAACACTCTATGTTCTAATTCTCCACATTATGGTAATGGTAACCATGGTAACTGCATTAGGAATTTCCATGATTACAAAGCTGATTTATTAATACATTTGAAAGACTTGATGGAATTGAGATTTTATGGATATTTATGGAATTTTCTGGAATTTGATCTTGTGAGAATGTGATACTGTAAACCACTTACAAATGTTACAAATCACCTGATTTTTTAATATTACTGCCGTTAGTCTGTTGTGCCATGTATTTGAGTAAGTATATTTTCTGTATGGTGATATCTTATCTTTTACAACGTTATCCATGTTTAGGGGCCGACCAGAAGGTGTTTCACCAGAGGAGTTGCCGTCTGCCCCAGACTTGACCTCTGATACCTCATCCCACTCACTCACAGAAAGAAGGCTTGCATCATCCATGGAAAGGTGGGCCGAGAAAGCCAGTCTTCCGGTCTTCTTTTCCAAACATTTTTTTGAAATAATTTTTTATTTTGTTGCATTTTCACAGTAGCGCATACTCATTGCAATTCATAATAACTAACGAAAAAGTAAATGGCAACTTGAACAGTACTTATAAAAGGTGTCGGTATTTGAATTTATGGAGGCTGCATGTTTAGTTAGTCTATAATAGTCAGTTAGCTCCCTTTGATTTCTTTGAATTCTGGCACATTCTTTTACAAACATGTCAAGCACAAGTGTTAAAACTTGTTGCTGTAGACACAATTGAGGTCATCCGATAAAATCTTTTTCTCACCATTTTCACCATTTTAAAAATAAAAACAGTTTTTACAGTGTTATTTATTGAATAAATTGGTTTGAGAATTTAAGCAGTTGTGTTATTTGAAACCAGTTTGTGTTATTTGACAGAAATGTGTCAGAGAGGGATGTGACAGGTGACCAGCCCCGGTCTGGAACTGAATACGGTCAGACCCCGGCCAGTGTCCAGCGAGATAGTCCCGAGTCATCCCCAGTCGACTCGGACCTCAGTGGTGGTCAGCGCAAGGACAAGCTCCGGCCATACAGGTCAGTAGGGAAGACGGCCATGTTGTGATTGTACTGTTAAGTGACCTTGAAAATCTGAGAAAAATAACAATGAAAAATTAAATCAGTGGTAAATAATGCAGTACACCAAACACTGCTGCAATTCTATTTACAGTGTATGTTGTATTGTGATATGTACTGTGAGTTATTAGGAGCTCAAGTGTGTGAGTGATTGACTGATGTTCATGCAGATCCTACCAGATTATATATAAATCTGCATCAGTCACAGCCTTTGTTGTCATGGATACAGGGGAGATAACTTGAGAGAAAAATCACTGCTCATTTGTGCCGGTTTTTTTCATTTATAAACTTTGAGGGAAACAATGTATCTGGGCTACAGTGTACCTGATAAGGGGTCATTGCTACATTGGTTTTAACTGGCCATGAAAATAATGAAAGTTTAGTAAAATTGTACAACAGCAGTGGCGTTGATGGGGAACAGTAATTGACAGAGACTACTGATATATGAGCTGTGATTTACCATCTGTGGTTCAAATAATGCAGAGGGCGGTGGGGTAGCCTAATGGTTAAAGCGTTCGCTCGTCACGCGGAAGACCCGGGTTCGATTCCCCACATGGGCACAATGTGTGAAGCCCATTTGTGGTGTCCCCCGCCGTGATATTGCTGGAATATTGCTAAAAGCGGCGTAAAACCATACTCACTCACTCACTCACTCAAATAATGCAGAGTCCTATAGACAACAGAAGATGCCTAGAAATCATTGGTTTGAAAACTTTGAAAATGTAGCCTGATCTACATATATCTTGTGTGTTGTGCTATTTTGTCATTGTGATAGAACATTTGTCTGTTTTGAGTCCCATATTAAAGGTTTCATAACATTATGTTAGACTGAGACTGTCATTTAAACCCAGCTTGTGTAACGTGTTTCAGACCTACTGGTAGTCGTGACCTGTATTACACAGAGAGTGACACAGGGTCGTTGACCGACAGCGTCACAACCATGGAGAGCACTCACACAGGTAAAATAATTTGTAAATGTAGCTGGCTTTTGAGAATGAGGGTTTATCGCCAGGTGTAGTGTTTTTATCTACAATGCAGGGTTCTAAGATTAATCCAAAGTCTGCTATTTTCATTTAGAATACAGGGTTTCCAGATTAATGCCTGGTTCGCTATGTTCATCTAAATTGTAAGGTTTCCAGATTAACCCATGGTCTATCATCTTCATGTAGAGAGCAAGGTTTCCAGATTAACCCCTGGTTTCCTTTGTCTTCGTTTGCAGGATCTGATGATGCCACTGCACCCTACTTCCCGCCTCAAGTGCTGGGTACCCGGGCGGATGCGTCCACCCAGCCTCCCACATCACGGAAATATCAACAACCAGGCATTCACATGGAACCATCTCTTTCAACAATAGAGGAGAAATCAGTTTCGGTATGAAGCTTATACATGAAATGTTTGATTCAGTATGACATTAATGTTTCTGCACCCAATGTGTATTAACCCAATATGCACCCGTTTGCATTGTTGATTCATTTCAGCTAGTGTTTAAAACTAAATAAATCGTCATCCCTTGGTTTGTTGATAGATTGCCTTAAAACAGGTTGTGAGACTTGATACAGAGTTGCACAGTCAACACCAGCTTATACAGGCATCTTAAAGTGAATTTCTGTTGATTTGTCCATGTTTTTCAGGATGAAAGAGACAAAATACCTATGGAGAGTAGTTGTACTGACTTGGAGAAGGTTGAAAGCCGGGATGTGAGACCAGAGAGATCAAGAGATCAAATGCGACCTCCGAGTCCTCGAGACACTTTCAGTAAGACGAGTACCCAATCCGCCCTGGAGGTTGACTCAGGAGTAGGGACGAAGAGTAACTTCACCACAACCACGATGACCGATACTTTGCAGGTGAGAGAGAGAAGAAATCAGATGGAGCTGACAGAGGATGGCAGGAGGCAAAGTTGACAGTGTAGACTATGGTTCTCGTTCAGACCAGCTGGTGAAGGACGGGACATATCGAGCCACCCTGAAGGTGTTGCATACCCGTGACGGACAAGGGTCAGGGTCAGATAGGAGAATAGAAAGTAGATCACAACTTCAGTTTGAAGAAGAAAGGTCAAGGTCAGATGAAAACTTGCCATGGACATCATCTGGTAGCCAGATGGAGGATAGACATGCAATGTCACATTCTGAGAATCCCCAAAGTCACGTTATGGAGGGTAGGTCACAAGGTCAGATTAGCGATAGGCGGTCAGGTTCGGGACTTAACTTTGGAGGGACATCTTCTGGTAGTCAAATAGATGATAGACGTTCAGCATTGCCCTCAGAGAGTCGCTCCAGTCAAGATTTAGAAAGTAGGTCACGGCAAAGTGGAGTTCACGGGACAGAACAGTATGGAAACAGAAGGAATGTGTATGATAGCCGGTCTGGACACACAGGAGCCTCAAGATCTAGTGATAATGTTCACAGTAATGGTAGCCAGGTCTCTGAGCAATATGTTGAGTACAGATCAACTGTCAGAGATGTACCTGACCGGGACTATAATGAGGGTAGGTTAAGGTCAAGGTCAGATGGTGACCTCATTGACAGGCAGCCCAGGCCAGCATCAGCTGCCCGAGATGGTCAGCTTCCTGAACCACCTGCTTCACCGATCCACCCACATTCAACACTGAGAGACTCAACGATGAGATCCGATCCAAGACACTCCACAGCCATTGACACTAGCTCTGACCAGAGGAATGGCAGAGGCAGATTCGAAGATAACCACATTCCAATGGAAGAGTAAGTTTAATAATCTGTGATGTATGCTGAAAAAATACTACTTAACATGATTAATATGCATAAAAATGATGTTCTACCTTTTATTAATATTTACTTTGGCGCTTGAGACGCTGCAGCAGATAGGTCGCCATGATGCAGAGTCTAGTATGACTGATACACCTGAACCCTCGCCAGTCTACTGCTGTTGGCCGAATTCTCCCCGTGTGGTGTTCCGCTAGAGTGGTGGAGAGGCGGGACGTGAGTCCGCCATCTCCAAGAAGCGCCCTGCTTCCCCAGACATCCCATCGCCGCAGCCAGACTAGAGGTTTTCTACTACATCTCTACAGCCGGATTTGGGCCTGTATGATGATCAGCCGATCATCATACCTGATGTACATCAAAAGAATGACCGATGTCGGCAACAGTGATGTCAGCGCAGATCAGCATGCAGCCTGATGTACCAACGCTGATATTCGATGATCTTCCTGAGGGTCCCATCGCTACTAACACTCAACGCAGACGCCGCTGACACCGAGGGCAGCGCTGACATCTGAGGGGAAATCAACGAAGTCTACTAGGACTTTCTCAACCCGAGATTGTTCCAGCCGCAGACCTGACGCTTCTACGATGATCAGCCATCATCATCCCCCGACATACGCCACAAGAAGCGACCGGTGACAGCTACAATGACATCAGCAGAGATCACCATGCAGCCTGATGCCTCTACACTGATGTCGGACGATATTCCTGTGGACCCTCTCCATTAACACCGCGAGATAAGGCACCGACGACCTCTTCGCCGCAGTCCATCCCTGAGGACCTGATGCGCAAATTATAACCATGATGGAGGATCGCTACAGACTGCAGAAGCAGGGACCGAGCCTTCGCTGAAGGCTCCAACGTAGACAGCACCCCAGAGGCACCCCCAGTCCAACGTGAAAGCAACCAGGACGATGTCACCTTCGCTAAGGAAGTCACGGACCACCTTGACGAAGGACCTAGATGTACAGCCTTCGCTGGAAGCCTTCGCAGCGGCGGATAGATCATCACCTTCTTCGGGTTTCATCCCTAGATGTGGACTCGACCATCAGACATCACGGAAGCCTTCGCTGAAGGTCATATCGTCGCTCTCCGACCGACGCCAGAGGAAGCTTCGCCAAGGCATTCGGCGACACCTGAATCCAGATCATCATCATCTAGAAGGACATCGAGGGACTACACAAGAGCTCAGCTGGTTATCAACGCTCTCCTCACAAGTCTCCAGAAAATCAACCCATAGACAAGTTGATCATCAATATCAAGAATAAGAACTACAATCGTGAATTGGTTCAGTTGAATCCATGACGAGACGTATGTTCTTGGCCTAAATAGATCTAGAACGATCAATGAGACACTTATCACCAGACTTCAGTAAACACGACTTCTGAAGATGATAAGATGATCCACTCGGCCCTACTTATGCAGAACCAGCTAGTCCCAGGTCAGCCTCCGCTGGCGAGCTAGAGCCTCACCAGCTACAAGGGACATCGCTGAGAAGCGCCACGACTTCTCGCGATCCTGTTAAACACAGAGGCCGCTCATGGCTAAGCGCTCATATATATATATATATATATATATATAATCGGGTTTGATTCGATACCTTCGCCAAGGTCGCCAAGGCTAAGTGGCTCCAAGTCTACTTCACTCCAGAAGGGATACTTCGAGAGCTTCGCTAAGTCTCCAGAGTTCACCGAGGAAGTCCTCCAAGGTCTCCATATACTAGCCACTCGGCCATATATAGCTACTCGTCAGTCCGTTTCAAGACATTCGCATAAGTTGTCTATCAACTGTATGCCAGATGCCATCTATAAGCCTCCGCTGAAGACAATTGCACAGGCTATTTACAACACAGAACGCCGCTGTATTAATTAGTCAACGACGCTTCATAGATCTTCACAGAAATCAACTGTTCCGTGATAGATGGCTAGAATATGTAACTCGGACGACGCATACGATTATCTACATGGACTATTACGCATATCTGCAGACAATTCAATATTGAAATTGAACAGCAGCCTTGTTACAGCTTAGTATAACTCATAATCGCCAACTTTTCTGAGAAGAAATATGTACAACAAGTTCAGCTTTAATTCTACAATTATGACGATACATTCATGTATACAGTCTACAAGCTGACAACTTGCAAGGTTATTGTACCTTTATATAAGGAAGTCGGAATTAGATTCAAACTGAAGTTACTTTCACGACAGCCAGGAAAATAACCTACCCAGCATTAATATTACAGAGCTTTAGGTATTTCGCACCGAAGGTTGCTGCTGCTTACCATTAACCTCAAACACGTGGTCACCGGGTAACTTCGAAGCTACGTGAAGTGTGAAGACCGACGATTATGCTAATATCAACGACGGCAAGATTTTATACAAGGTTTTTTCCTGCTACACCGGTGACATCACAGCTGGTATTCTACAGAATCAAAATGCCTTGTTCTGATTGGACCGCTGATGGACAACGACTCCACGAGAGGTCGATCTTAATTCACAGTTCAAGACTTACGCCACAAGTGACAACTATATATCAGTGAACGAGCAAGCCTCCTTACAGTCCAGTTAACCTGAACCTTCATGATTGGGCTGCTTTCTTCAGGTTAGAGGCCTCCCCGTCAAGTTAGGACGAGAGCACGCAGTCAGGCTTAATTTACATAAAGTTCAACGAGGACAGACACACCTGGTTGTGCACCTACATCGCCAAGAACCTCGCGCAGCTTAATTACCTAGACGACGGATACAAGTTGATCTAAACCCACAGCGCCTCAGACTACAGTTGAATTTAATCATCAAGCTACTAACACAACTGGATGGTTAGTAAACCTACTTAAGCTTCTGATTGGAGAATTTAAACGGAAATTTCACGCCCAACTTGGGGATCTGAATATAGTACTCCAACACCTCACAAGTGAGGTTTATGAACACGCCTGATAATATACTTGGGCTCCATGATACGACATGATTCTATCAATGCGATGGCCAGCAAGAGCACTGTAAATTTATCTCCACCGAACCAAACAGGAAGGGAAAATGCAACAGATTATTTCCTCTATCTTCAACTTAGGCAGAATGAAGTCTCACGCACTATATCTCCGCTGGATCAGAACTGTCATACTATGTGCATACAAGACGGATGGACCCATCCGACCCTCCATGAGCTTTTAATACTCATGATATTAGAACGCTAACTTCTACAATTGATTTACACAAATGTTTTTGGAATAATGGAGGGTTTATTTCTGAGATCCGATATGGTGGTTGCCAACCATTATCTGAGAGATATCACCACCGAGGACGCCTCAGGTATCCACCAATCGATCCCATGGTCCTCAAAGACAACAATTGACAGTTCTCTCGAGAAGATAAGTCAATCTTACAGATTTCTACTTATCTTATAACAGTACTAAATAGCTACATGCTATATATAATTTGCTTAAGTTCCTTTTATCATCACAGTACTATGATTATTACATCATACAATATATAAGTTAACAACTCTACAGAGTTTGTTATTATATATTTACCTTAAGTTAATCATATCTTAAGAGTAGTACTATGGTAACATGATAATGCATTAGCTAACAAACTCTACAGAGTTTTTGGCTATTATATAATGTAGCTTAAGTTATTTATATCTTAAGCATAGTACTATACTCATATTATAAAAATATATTAGCTATCAAACTCTACGGAGTTTTGCTATTATATAGGTAGCTTAAGCTTATTCATATCTTAAGCTTAGTAATACGTTTATATCATATAAGTATATTAGCTAACAAACTCTAAAGAGTTTTTTGCTATTTGGCTTAAGTGTCATCATATTCTAAGCAATATGGTTATATTATAACATGTATTAGCTAACAAACTCTACAGAGTTTTTGCTATTATATATGTAACTTAAGCTTATTCATATCTTAAGCGCAGTACTATGTTATATCATATAGGTATATTAGCTATCAAAACTCTAAAAGAGGTTTTTGCTATTATATATTTGGCTTAAGTTTCATCATATTTTAAGCTTTATGGTTACATTATAACATGTATTAGCTAACAAACTCTACAGAGTTTTTGCTATTATATATGTAACTTAAGCTTATTCATATCTTAAGCTCAATACTATGTTTATATCATATAGGTATATTAGCTATCAAACTCTAAAAAAGAGTTTTTTTGCTATTATACATTTAGCTTAAGTTTCATCATATTTTAAGCTTTTATGGTTACATTATAACATGTATTAGCTAACAAACTCTACTTGAGTTTTGCTATTATATATGTAGCTTAAGTTTAATCATATCTTAAGCTCTATGTTTATAACATAAAAGTATATTAGTTAATAAACTCTAAGGAGTTTTTTACTATATACATTTAGCTTAAGTCTATATAATATATCATATAAGTATTTTAGCTAACAAACTCTAAAGAGTTTTTTGGCTATTATACAATTAGCTTAAGTTTCATCATATCTTAAGCAGTATGGTTACATTATAAAATGTATTACCTAACAAAACCTCGACGGAGTTTTGCTATTATATATATAGCTTAAGTTTAATCATATCTTAAGCTCAGTACTATGTTTATAACATAAAAGTATATTAGTTAATAAACTCTAAGGAGTTTTTTACTATATACATTTAGCTTAAGTCTAAATTTATCTTAAGCTTAGTACTATAGTTACATTATAAATCTATTAGCTAATAAACTCTACAGAGTTTTTGGCTATTGTATATGTAGCTTAAGCATTATATCTTAAGCACAGTACTATACTCATATTGTAAAATATATTAGCTAACAAACTCTACAGAGTTTGGCTATTATATATGTAGCTTAAGTTAATTATATTTTAAGCACAGTACTATACTCATATTGTAAAAATATATTAGCTAACAAACTCTACAGAGTTTTGCTATTATATATGTAGCTTAAGTTAATTATATCTTAAGTACAGTACTATACTCATATTGTAAAAATATATTAGCTAACAAACTCTACAGAGTTTTGCTATTATATATGTAGCTTAAGTTAATTATATCTTAAGCACAGTATTATACTCATATTATAAAATATATTAGCTAACAAACTCTACAGAGTTCTGCTATTATATATGTAGCCAAAGCTTATTCATATCTTAAGCTCAGCATTATATCTATATCATATAAGTATATTAACTAACAAACTCTAAAGAGTTTTGCTATTATATAATTAGCTTAAGTTTAATCATATCTTAAGCTTAGTACTATGTTTATATCTTAAAGTATTTTAGCTAACAAACTCTAAGGAGTTTATACTCAGCATATTAACAAATTTAAGTCTATCAGTCTTAAGCATTGTATTAATGTTATATATACTTTATCATAATAAGTACATTGTAATAACCTTTATATGGCAGCTGATAAGTTAGCAGCAGGAATTCATCAGTTTAGTGCCTTTATGAAGTTCCCATAGGGTTATTACAATCATCACAGATCAAATCACTAATTATTAAAATCCAAAGTATTCTATTACTCCCACCTCCGTTCCGTAGGATTCTACAAGCAAAAGAGCATGAGTCAGGATAAGGAAAAATATGTAATTTTTAGAGTAAAATTGATATTTTATACAGTAGAACACGGATATAGCGAACACGGATATACCGTACAAATGGATATAATTAACAAATTTAAAAGTCCACAACAATCCTTTATGATATCATTAGAATTATAATGAATAACGAACTCGGTGAGTAGCTTAATTAACGGCTATAGCTTAACTGATTTACTACCCCCAAGCCTAATTAACAGCACGTGATTAGCTTAACTCACTCAGTGTCAGCTCAGTGTCAGCTCAGCCACTTAGCGGTATACATCAACCTTGTTGACGGCGAATCAACATATTGTTGAGATTGTTAAACATGTTCTAGCTAATGTCTGTGAATGATAAATTCAGAATTTTAATGTTATGTCAATATGCATGTACAAGAATAAAGATTTGTAGCCTCAGCATATACATGTCTCTACATCTCTATAATCCAAGATGGCGGTTAAATGTGAATAACGAAAACCGGATATAGCGAACTAAATTTCTTGGTCCCTTGGAGTTCGTTATATCCGTGTTCTACTGTACTTATCCTGACTAATGAGGTCAGCCCTCCCATCCTCCCCACATAACACTTTGGATTTCCCTGTAAATTCAAATGTTGGGCTCAGTATATGAGGAGAGAGTGAGGCACATGGGTGAAGGTGGCGCCCTCGTTTCCCGCGCTTGTGGAAAGGGGGTAACTCGTGGTGAGTACTAATTAGTGATTTTACATTGAAGGTAGCTTCAATTAGGGAGATACAAGTGTTTCCACTAAGTTCGCAAGAAGAAGAAGACAAGCAAAAGAGCATGAGTCAGGATAAGTATAAAATATCAATTTTACTCTAAAAATTACATTATTAAGTTAAAATATTGTTGCAAGCAATGTGGAGGGCTCCTTGGCTTTAGTTCTATCTGTTGTATTTGAGGGCTAGAAATCATTGTCCAAAACGGAGCCAGAACACGTTTCTGACAGGTGAGCAGATCTTCCAAATGCAGCCGGGGTCATGGGGGTCATGTAGGTCATGTAGGTCATGTAGGTCATGTACCTTTTAAGAAGTTCTGGAGAAGAAATAGTTCCCTCTTTAAAAGGCTGTATCTCAGTTGTTCTTGGGTCTACGGTCAAAACAATTTGTGTTCTGGAATCACCAATACTTCATCTACCATAGGCACAGTCTAAGTAAACTTAAGTGCAGTATTATTCGTTACACTGCTAGACTGAGTCTAACAAAACCTTATGGAAGGTCGCGTCAGCTAATCTTTTCAATTGACCAATCAGAACACAGCTTACCAAATCGCGAAGTTGACGTTCGCACATACCTTTTGAACTTTTACCTCGAAAAAAGTTTTGTACCCTCAAAGTTTTTCGCTCAAAGGTTATCTGATGCGACCTTCAACAAGGTTTTGTTAGTCTCAGTATAGAGGTGTAACGAATAATACTGAGCCTAAGTTTACTTAGACTGCATACTGGCACTTTTTGTGCAGAATGGTTACTGGACATCAGTTATGGAAAGTTTGGAATGTCTAGAGCTGGTGGTTCGAGCTCAGCACATTTTGGGAGCAAACTACTCAGAAAACTGCTGAAAAACATGGCCAAAAACTGAAAACAAAAATAACTGCCAAACGGTACATTTTAGCGATTTGACCTGTCCAGGCAAAATTGTTGGGAATTCGATTGTGCATCTGTACAAGAGATTTGGAAGTGTTGGAACAATTAGTTCTTGAGATATTTGCTGTCAAACTTTGAAATTTTGGAATTAATTTTGAATTATCTCCCCTTTGCTATTGGGCCTAGAGCCTAGAGATTTTTAAGGGGCATATCTTCACCTCGGTGGGCATCTGTGTGATTATTGTAAGCGATTCGGAGCATTGGTTTAGGAGGTATGTTGAGTACAAAAATAGGCAAAATAATAAATAATAATAATAATAATCAAACGATTACAATAGGTCTCCTGCCTAGACCTAGAGGCAAGGAGCCCTAAATATGTAGTTTATTTTGTGCTGAATGTTTTAAGTTGAAAATCAACACCCTTATTTTTGTAGGTTAAACAATTTGAATACAAGAAAAACCCATGTCAATTCAGACTTGTTTCAGATGTGTTGTACTCTGATGTCTGCCTAAACTTTATGCAGTTGTTGTAAAGTCTCTGCTCTCCTCTCCTGTAGTTTGCTTTGCGTAACTACTCTCTTACATGTTCTGGATTCTTGATTTCAGAGATCAAGGTCAGAGCTCACAAGGATCATCTCTGAGGAGTGGGAAAGATGGACGTCAGAGGTCATCAGATCGGAAGGATACCAGACAGAGGATGGAACAGAATCGAAATTCAAGGTGGGATAACTACTACCAATTGAGCAGACTTCACGACTAAATTTTATGGAATGGCTGTTCAATAGCCATGCTATGTTTTGCAGCACTTGAAGCATTTTTATATTTGATATTTTATCGCTGAAACACTGAAAAAGAATGGACCCTCAACCAGGGTAGTGAAGGGCCCAATATCTTTTATGTTGAAATGAGCATTGACATGAAGCACTTGTAGATACATAAGATTTTTGGGATATCAATGCCTTTCCTTCAGTTGTTTTAGCTCATGTGTTACAGACCTCCACCATATAGTTGGGATATTGCTGAGTGCGGCGTAAAACTAAACTCACTCACTCACTCTATCTCATGTGAGCCAGTGAAGTTGTCTGATGTTTGAAATGCTTCTTCCTTGTTACAGACGGGGACAGGTGGATATAAGTTCCTCTGAAGATGACGGCCTCCGAGCCATTGACCGGGCTCCTGTAAGTCGCCCAGCCCAGCTACTGAGGGAGACGTTAGAACAGGAGGTAGATCCAGCTGTCCCTGTAGACATCAATATCCTGTGGCAGAGGTTCCAGGAGCTAAACCAGACTGACAGTGACACGTCCCTCAATACAACTCTCATGGAAACCCTTGCCCAACTCCTTAGGAACCCAGCTAGGCATCTGGTCAAATCCTACTTTGAAGACCAAGAGAAGCAGAGAAAGACCAGAGAGGAGAAGACGTCTGAGGAGAGGGAGAAGAGGAGGAGCCAGAGGAGGAGTCAGAGGAACATCAGCGAGTCAGAGATAAATGGGAGCTACTCCGAGGTGATGGAGAAGGGGAGTCCGGAGAAGAAGGCAAAGACTAGTTCTGTGAGGAAGATGAATAAGAAGAATGCTGGTGAACGAACACAGGAAGGGGTGGAGAATCTGTATTCAATCCCGGAGGATATGAGCTTCGATCAGAGAAGGTACAAGAAGATGGACAGTCTCATTGATCCTAACATGGAGAAGTTGAGGGAGAAGATATGGCGACAGAAGGAGAAGATTGAGCGAGAGCAGAGGAAGGAGCTGAAACGGATGGAGAAGCTGGTGAAGCTTGAGCAGCTGTTGTCGGCAAAGAAGAAGGGGAAGATCAGTGAGTCGACTTTGTTGGATCAGCTGGAGTACATCTCTACCACGTCTGCTCCTACGGATTCCATGGAGGACATGACAGAATCAACGCTGACCATGTCTGGAGTAAATAGCGAGATTCTCACTGATGACAGCACAACCGCTAAGGATAGCAGCATTGAGATGCAGATGATAAAGTTTGCTCGGAATCAGCCTCCTTCTGAAATATATGATGCTGGTTTTGGAGAATTTCAGCAAACTGTTCAGATGGACATTGACAAGAATGGGAAAAGTAAGAAGGCAGAGAAGGTTCGGACCAATCAGAAGCTGAAGGAACAGTCCAAAACAGCGATAAAAGTAAGCGGAGTTCTAAGGATAGGTCGGTTAATGAGACTGAATCTCTGTATGATTTCCGGGAAGTTGATATTCAGATCCAGGAGAGGCCTAGACACGTTGACTCCTCGCCAGATAGTAACCGGAGGGCAAGGTCGACATCTCGAGGACGGACGCGGGATGCTGCTACAAACTATCCATCACCTTTGTCCCGAAGTCCTGTGAGTCCTCAGAGACACAAACAGAGGAGGACAAAGTCGGAGGGCATTCAGACAACACCAAATCTTCATCGATATGCATCAAAGACAAGGTCACCCTCACCAGGCCGTAGAGCAAAGCAGGTACAGATGAGTGCGCCTTTTGCTATGAGAGAAAAGACAAGCCGGAGTAAATCTCCGCCATACTCTCGCTGCTTCACGCCTGAGTCCATGGGAACTCAACACTCAAGACAGAAGAAGAAGAAACTACCAGCCAGTCCAAGTAAGTGTTTCATAGTACCAGTCAGTGCATTATAGTGCCAGTCAGTGCTTTATAATGCCAGTCAGTGCATTATAGTGCCAGTCAGTGCTTTATAATGCCACTCAGCATTTCAAAGTATCAGTCAGTGCTTTAGTGCAAGTCATCCACATCCATATATAGGCAACCAGTGCTTCATAATGCCAACCAATAGTGCCAACCAGTGCTTTATAATGCCAACCAATAGTGCCAGTCAGTGCTTCATAATGCCAACCAATAGTGCCAGTCAGTGCTTTATAATGCCATCAGTGTTTCATAGTGCCAGCCAGTTCTTCATAAAGGCAGTCAGTGCCAGTCATTGATTTGATCATTTGAAATGATTAAATGATACAAGTTGTAACAACCAAGAATGGTCATATTTACAATATACCTTGACTACCTGAAATGTAGCAACAGGGAACAAAGAGACCAGAACATGATCTTAATCTGTATACCTTTACAGATAAATCTTTGGATAGAGTCTTTGACAAAGTATTTGAAGTATGTGATTGGATTAAGTGATTGAAAAAGGGAGTAGGTGGATGTAAGAAGACAAGAGAATGAGGACTGAATGCATGACAGTGATTACATGTTGGACAGGGTGTAAGTGCTTAGGGACCGCTCATAATTTATGGCTGGGGGTGGGGGTGGGATGATGATGATTTTATGGAGAAGCATGTACAATGTGAATGAGCCCCCTAAAATGTATGTACAAAGTAAGTGACTCCCCTGCATGTCATGTACAAATTCAATTAAACAACCCAAATAATTTTTTAAAATATTTTTATGTACAAAATTGCTAGAAAAACAGTACAAAAAAACAACCCCCTCCCCAGTACATGTGTACAAAATTGATGACCCAGCTACCTCCCCTCAAAATCATCATCCACCCAGCCATAAATTATGAGCGGGAGGTGAAGGCATAATTAGGACATCAAGCATTTGAAGTAAAATAGTGTTTATGGGAGGTGAAGGCATAATTCCATCAAGTTTTAAGTAAAAGCAGGATGTTTTGTGATGTCACAAAGGACATTTCTTCATGTGAAACCTGTTCAATTCCAGAGGGCATTGCTTGGTATGTGGAGGTGAAGGAGCCTCGCCCCTGGAGACAGCCCCTGAGGGAGAGGCAGGAGTATGGCGTGAAGCAGGCGTGGGAGGCCCCGGGGAGCAAGTCTCAGTGGCAGACGGCACAGCCCCAGGACATCATGGAGGAGGATGAGGAGAACCAGGGGTACCAGGAGACCGTGGTGGACAGGATACAACAGCCAGACCTTCAATCTAAGCTCATTGAGGAGGAGTATACGTTTAAGAAGTCACAGTCTCTGCAGGTTTGTCTTTGGATGAGGTGTTGTTTAAAGTTAGAGCTATTCTGGACTCATGTGTGTGTGATGAATATGAAGTATGGATAACATAGGTAGTCCACTTCACTGAATCATATGAATTTGTGAACAATTGATTCAATATCCAGAAGTACTGGACTGAGTTGTTTCTTCCGCAGAAGTTGGTTCGTTCTTATCTGTGCGTATTTTAAGGATAATGTAAGTTATGTTGTTTGAAATCACGAAAAGTCTTCAATGTCATTGATGCGGCACACTCATAAATACACAGAAACATGCATGCATACAGACACACAGATTAAGCCATGACGTAAAACCCTGTCTTCTCTCTGTCAGGATGCCTTCAAACAGAAGATGCAGAACTTCATATCTCAGTCTCGGGAGCGGCAGAAGCGGATGGCCTTGGCAGCAGATCACCGCCACATGCAGGAAGAGCTAAGGCTGGAGAGGGAGAAGATCTTCCCCGTCCAGAGGAAGCACGGGACCAACCTTGATGTACATCCATACAGTGGTAAGTCATTGAGAAGAGTGAGAAGGCCTTGCCCGTTCAGAGGAAGCACAGGACAAAGCCTAAGTCCAATCAATATAACCATTTCCAATTGTGTTTCTCATCTCTTACTTGCATTCAGGAATTAGAATTAAATGTACCAAAATGACAATCACTGAATAATTCTTTGATGGTGCAAACTTATTCTAATTTCCAGAACATTTGTATCAGCCAAAGCGACGTGTGTTCACCAGACAGGAACAAAAGGATCACACTCAAAGGTGAGACACAACAGATTAGTCCTCACCATAGATTATCACATTGACACCAGACTGACCATCGACCTCCAGCTTCTTAGAAACCATGGACCGAGGAAACTAAAACTTGTGATACCTGTTCTGACCGACAACAAAATCTGATACCAGCCATATAACAAGTACAGATGGACTTTCCTTCCTGAGTGTTCTTTAAACAGAATGTCATGTTTGATAGTCAGCAAGATGAGTCAATACGTGGTCTGAAGTCTTTTGCAGTGAAGATTTATGAGCCAGCTTTTAATGTGTGGATTGGACTGTTTCCTAAGGGTTATCTCATTATGTCCTGTAGAATATTTTGTTTTCCTCACTTAGATCTTTTAATGTTAACCCATCTGTGATGTCATCTTTTTATGTAGCATTTATTCAGAGTATTTTAACATTTTCCTTCCATTGTTTACTGCGGGTCTCTCTCAGTTCATCTCAAATCTAAAATAGACAAAATTGTTAACACTGCAAGTAAAATCGCTGGAGTCAGATTTGAATGTTTATCAAATATATGAGCTGCAAATCATTGAATCAAGCTGTCAAAATCATATCTGACCGTCACTTCACTACTTAAATTCGAATACAACCTTCTCCCTTCAGGTACAAAGTTCCAATTGTGAAAACTAAGAGAGCCTGTACATCCCTTATTCCAAGTACCATATCAATCAAAGAATTTATGTAAATATGTTTGGTATCTCTCTAATGTGTCAGTAGCTCTGCTGATGTAACACAAAATCCTGAAAAGGCATTAAAGTATTATTCTATTCTATTCTATTCTAGTATACTTCATTGTCTTGTAGAATATACAAGCGACTGCCGGAAGTTATGAGGAGAGAAGAAGATCGAAAGCGAGAGAACCAGTATCGACTGAACCGACTCAAGTCAAAGGTTTTCACCAAGGTGAGGCAGACACTGCTGGAGCTGAAAACCATTTGATATTGACTTTGGAATCACGTTGTTTGAATTGCCTTGTCTCTAAACCCATGCTTGGCATAAGAGGTGACTAACCGGATCAGGTGGTCAGACTCACTGACTTAGGTGACACGTCATCGTATCCCAGTTGGGTAGATCGATGCTCATGCTGTTGATCACTGGATTGTGGGGTCCAGACTCGATTATTTACAAACTGCCACTATATAGCTGGAATCTTGCTGACTGTAGGGTTAAACAACAAATTATGTTAAGGAATGCTAGTTAGACCTCCTTTTAAAAGATGGAGGACTTGTGACAGTACTCTACCAGGATGTAATGGTGAAGTTGCATGAGCAAAGGATGAGATGAAAATCAGTCCTGTTAGCCGATTATCCCAGATAAACATTGTCACAAGTCTTTTACCCATTTTCAACACAGCATGCATAGCATACAGGCGGAAACAGTGAACGCTTGCACATAAGGCACTTTGAACTTTGAACTTTGCATGCAAGGCTCCCAAATCCTGGTCCATGGTGTCTCGAAGTGCATACTGTTGTTTAAGTTGTAAGTATTGGGACATAATTGTCCTGCACATGAACCAAATGACCTATTGGACCTTGGCTGAGTGAGAATATTCATCATTGCTTTCAGAATCCTAAACCATAGGGATGGCCAAACTAAGAATATATACTTGGTTATAGCTAGTTTATGCTTTTGAATATCTAATTGTAGAATAAAATATTAATAAGATAGACATATGAATTTATTTGAACATTACTGTCAGCAGACCATTCAACAAAAGAAATCAAGAATCAATAAAAGCAGTAGGATCATATAAGTTATCGCATCGTGTCTCGGGAAATACAGGGTTTTATCAGTCCCTCGTAAGGTTGTATTCCCCTACGCCGCGAGGGGAATACAACCTTATGAGGGACTGATAAAACCCTGTATTTCCCGAGACACAATGTGATAACGCATTTATCTAGCTGAATGTTTTGCTTCAATTTCATTCTCAATTGTTGTGGCAAAACGTTTCCTTGCTGCCATGTTGACAACAGCTGATCGATTGACCTCAATGCAGCGACGTTACTAAAGGCTTGGCGATGTACGTTTTTCTCACTTCGCGTGGTCACCGAGGCGTGGCGGGATAATATGACTTTTGTACTTCCTGCTTGCGGATCGTGACGGGTGTACATGGTATTTTATCAGAGTCACGTGAACCAATCAAAACTCAACATTCTTACATGAGGCTGGATAATAGGTTATAACAAATATCCTGACCCTCTAGCACAGTCTATAATATTTTATCACGTACATTAAACCATTCCATATTTGTGTTTCAGAGAGTGCAGAGACACGTTCTGATACAGGCTGGGAAGTACTGAGGGTGTTTACCCCGACAGCGTTACTGTGATATTGATATTTATTGTTTCGGAAACAGTTTTCTGTTGGTATGATAATCATGTACTAGAAAATAGCTCAATTATCACTGATTCACCTGTAGACTGATCAATAGTATATCATTACTCAGACCTTTGATCAACTTCACATATAGGGACAGTGACAACTGCTAACCTGAGATGTGTATTTATTACCTGAGATGTTAAGAGTAAATTTCGAAAACAAAACTGTATCCTTCATGAAAATTTATTCAACATTTCTCAGTGTACCTACAAATTGTATATACTAGTAGATCATATTCATAAATTAAAGATGGAGATCATGTGGTTAGAGTGCTATATTTATGTTATCTTATGATTAGCTTCTACAATGGAACCTTGTTAGTCTGGAAACTCTGCATTCTGGACAGTTCTAATGGGAATGTGTATATGAATACAAAGGATTTTACTTTCATATTGATTTGTTGGTGAGGATATTTGTTATTCTGGACAAATATTTTGGAAATGGAACTGTATGGATTAACAAGGTTTCATTGTATAGGAATGGTGAGTAATCTCCTTCAATGTTCTTCCGTCCATTCCATACTAACTGGAGACTAGTGTTTTCAGATTATTACTACAATGCATTTTCAGTAATGTAGTTTTATATATAAAGTGTACAATACAATATCAAATTTATTCAACTTGGCTTTGTTTTGTTTGAAGGATTGGGGCTCAGTCCAACATAAAGAACATGCTGAAATAACTGAAATATTGTTCTAAACAGCATGAGATCAAACTGACTTATTCGTACAAGGAAGTGACAGCATTTGTAGCTGGGAGTGAGTGATTGTGCTGGTGACGGCTGAATATTTCGGTTATATTATGGCTGGTCAGCTTTACAGATGGAGAGAACCTGATATGGTGCATGCCTAGAAATATTGTTATGGTGCTGACAAAACGGAATTAGGGTAAACTGATTCCTCGCACCGATTCCTGGCACACCAAAGGGACTTAACTCCGCACAGTGAATTGTGATACTGAGACAACTAGGTTACCAGTGAAGATGATGACTGATTCAGGAAAAGACCACAACTCGGGGAATACTCGCAGCATCTATTTATTTCCCATCTATAGGGACAGCACTTTCATGCTGAAAAACAATACAAATCTTTTGGTAAACTGCATACTTCACAGTTGTGCTCCGTCCTCGTCTACATTTACACAGGCTTGCTTCATCTACTTAAAACTCTTTTTGTGTCGACATCAACACAAGTTAACAGTTTTCCAAAACATCATAACAATCAGATATACATAAAGATTATAATTGAGCATTCACAAATGTTTCGGACAACTTGACTCATATTTGCTTAGACTTTTCCTGGCCAAGGCGGTTCTAATTAAATTAAATATATTACTCAAAAAAAGTTGAGGATCGCTTAATTCTTTCATATTACCATGGTGGTAGCTTGATTAACGGATGTAGTATGAAAGAATCGGATGACCTTGACCTTTTAGAGTATTATAGTAATCATGATACTATTCCAGCATGCACAGCATACTGGAGGTTGCCATGGCGACCAAGGTCAATATGCTCCACAAAATTGCATCCTTGCTCTGAGAAACTCCTATTGCAAACACATGACTGGTGAATGTCGGCTTCCAAATATGTATACTGAATAGGTTAAAGAATTTTGTGGTTTGAGGGTTGCCTACTATCATAAAGGATTATGTAAGGCATGCTCATGCTATCAATCAGTGGATGATTGGGTTGATTATTCTGCAGCAGTCCTATAACTGGTGTATTAAATGTTGAGTGCAGCATATTTATACTAAACAAGTTTAAGAACCACTGATTCTTTATCATTATTATTGTTCTTTAAATTCTTTTGAGTGGTATAAAAGAATAACAAACCTCAATCCATTTAGCTGTTGTGGTTCATTCTTTTGTTTTCACAAATTAACATTCCTTTGAATTTTTCAATAAAATTTTGTTATTCAAACTTCAAAACAACACATTAAAAATAATTTTCTGCTTTCTGCATGGATGTTCTAAGACTTGCTTTCTGATTGGCTGATCTACACAAGGATTGACTATATCACATACTTAGTGGTCTGCAATAGCCGTTTCTGCAAGGGTAATTGCAAGTGGAAATATGTATTCCAAGGTTGCCATGGTAACAAAAGACAGGATTATTGTACTTAATCAGTTCTTTGGCCAAGAAATGTTCTTTCTTGAGGCTCTCAACAAAGACTAATTCCCATTTCATACTTATAAGTGGAAATATGTATTCCAAGGTTGCCATGGTAACAAAAGACAGGATTTATTGTTATTAGAACATTTCTTGGCCAAGGAACTGATTTTCTAGTAGCTCTAATTCACATTTCATACAGTGAGATGTACATACAAGCACATTTGGAACATGATCTTTCAGTGCTTTAGGGTGTATCTTCAGGAATACCACTTTTATATACAAGGAACAAACATGGTGCTGTTGTAAGGTATGACCTTAGCACTCAGATTGCTTTCTACAACGGCACCCTGGTCTATAAACAAAATCAGCAAGTATCCTTAGGCCAGATCAATTTTATTTCTAGTTATACAGATTCACGGGTCATATTTTTTCTAGAAGAAGAAGAAGAAGAAAAATAAAATCCTAATGTTCTTATTGGCCAAAAAGGTCATTTCTTTTTAGGTTGTTTTTTGCCCCATATAAACTTCATAAATCGCCAAAAGTAAAATACTTTTTAGTATATAAAAGGAATATTACTTTGGTGATTTTTTCCCCCCCTCCTGTCTTTTTTCTGAGGAATTTTTTTTTGTAAAACAAGAAATGAAATTGGTCTGGCTTTATATGAAAGCAAAAACTTCATATTAGTTTCTCCTACAGTGAAATTATGGGCAGTTCCATTTTATAACAAAATACTAGTACATTAACAACATATACTGAGACCAATCATAATGCTTCTCTGGTTAAGATGCTTTTTGTATATAAGATAATATAGGTGAGTGAGTTTAGTTTCACGTCACTTTTAGCAATGTTCCAGCAAAATCATGGTGGGGGACACCAGAAATGGGCTTCACTTATAGTACCCATGTGGGAAATTGAACCCGAGCATTCGGAGTGACGAGCAAACACTTTAACCACTAGGATATCCCACCGCCCCCTAAAATAATATGACCATAATTTCTTTGAAAGAGATTCTGAAGGAACTGATAAATTAAGATGGGTTTGAACATGGATTCCTGTATATGAATATTTTCTACATTTTAAAGCAAAGAAATGGAAAATTTGAAGTCCTCAGTTTGCAAAATCCTTGCTTGACCTCTGGGTCTGTTAGAGGCTTATGTTGTATGAAACAAAAATAAATGCACCAGTTAGTGGAGATTCATGTCGTTGCAGGTTTATATCAATTGAAGCATGTCACATGACTAGGGTAGAGAGTCGTCTTGTACATGGAATGTGTGCTACATAGAAACGGTTTATTGTCTTTGGAATGACAATGTCAACTTCCATCCTGGTTTCAGCTTTATCAGTTGCAAACTAAGAACACTTTATGATATTTGTACCTTAGACATACTCTAGATAGCACTGAGGCAGAAATAAATCAAATAAGAGATTTTCACCTTTCCAACCTCACCATCAACCTAACATACAAGCGAATTGTATTTGTCAACAGTATATGTATATAGAAGCCTTGCAAAGCTTGATTACGTTAAGGGATGGTAAACACCCTGCATAAGGAATAAACGTTGTATTTTGTGTCAATCCCTTTAGAGTTACTGCCCTTTATAAAAGGGAGGCTACTCTAATTACTCTTGCTCAAATAAGGGACACAACTCTTATACAATCATATGGACACTCTTTCTTGACTTGGTGAGTGATCTGTTCATAATGTTCATATAATTACATGCCTGACCTTTTGTTGGGAGACACAAGCAGAATTCATATTTATGCCACTAATTTTTCAAATTAATATTGCAATATTTGCCTTGCAAGAACGATCACTTATGCACAGATTTTACTTAAACATTATCAAATCAGCTGCATATACAGATTTCGAATCATAATCATGATCAGATTCCTCAATGTACACTGTACACTTGGTGTGACGTCGTTAACATGTCACAATCATGCAATATTGCTTAATGTTTTGGACATTTAATACAACACACCTTACACAAAGAAATATTGTAAATTTGGTGATTGTCAGATGAAAATACAACCTGATAGGTATCATGGAATTATTAAGACATACCTGAAGATTTGGTCATATACAGATAATAATGTCATAATAAATCAACATATTTTACAATATATCAGCTTCAACTTTGTCAATGGATGAATTTATCACTAAATCTACTTGCAGGAATTGTTTCATAATAGTTTCATTGTTTGATAATGATGACAATTCCATTAGTACAAAGTCACGTGAACGAAAACAACAAATTCACATAGTGATTAGATAGAATAAGAGCCTTATCACAGAATCTCTGAACCTTAAAATATAAGAATGTAACAGTTAATATTGAAAATATTGGTACAGTCAAACACTGCTGAGTACCAGTTGAAGGGGCCTACATAAATAATTATAATTATTTGGGATTCGACAAGGTCAGGCCAATTATATTTCTTGTTTTACGGATTTTTGCCGTCAGAAAACCTAAAGGCAGGAGGGAAAATTTAAAAAAAAAAAAAATCACCAGTCAGAGTAATATTCCTTTTAAATACTAAAAATATTTTACTTTTGGCAATTTATGAAGTGTATATGGGGCAAAAAACAATCTAAAAACATTTTCTTGCACATTTACATTTTTGGCGAATAGAAATATAAAAAAAAATAATTTTTGAGTGGGGAAAATTAATTTATATTTTTTTTCTTATTCTTGAAAAATACAACTGGCGGATCTGTAAAACAAGAAATAACATTGGTCTGGCCTAACTGTGAAATAGTGACAAAAGCAGGAATATGCTGGGAGCAACCTTTTTCTTCAAGACAACTAAATTTGTCACATCAAAGTAGTTTGACACAGCAGTGTTTAACTGTATTTAAATAACATGCCAGTAATGTGTAAAAATATCCTCCAATCAACCTTGGTGAAAATGTTATTTTCCTATTTATCACAACCTTATTTGCAAATTTGCGATACAAATCTACAAAACAACAACAAAGTTGGAATTTGCTTCAGGAAAAGAAATACCGGTATGTAACTGTTCTGACCATTTTAATTGCAGACACTGGCTGTTTTTCATGATCAGATATTGGAACAGAGAACAAAAAACATATGCCCAATACAAAAGCAACAAAGAACGCTACTATATTCATTCTCCTTGGCAAGAGATCTGTGGATCAGAAAATGTGAGCGAAAAATAAAGGCAAGAAAATTGTTTCCAATTATACATAATTTTCAAAGAATTTGAAAAATAATTTAAATGGAATTTTGAAATTCTCATTACTATTTGTTATGAAAGTAAGCTCTTTTCTACATTTAAAAATATAGAAAGGGATTAAAACAATCTTAACAATTCAATTGAAACCACACACAAAACAACAATACAACCTTGAAACAAACTTAAATCAGCAAATGAAAGTTGTACTGAAAATAGTTTCCCTATCAACATGTTGATGCTCATGCTGTTGTTCACTGGATTGACTAGTCCAGACTTGATTATTTAAAGAGTGCCGCCATACAGCAGTAATATTGCTGAGTGCGACAGTAAACAACATCATCCAACCAACCCTATCAAAACTTTATTGCATTTAATGTCACACTGAACAGTACCGGGTATTTCATGGTTTGTTAGCCTCAAGTTGGAAGAACATTTGTTGATGTTAATCCTCACCTGCTGACAAAGTAAAATGGCATTCCCACAATATACAGAGATCCTAACAAGGAACATACACATTCAAAATATTACTGAAGTGTTATGGAAAATAGTATCTCTTACAGACATATCACCTAATTCCAAGTGTTGTGAAATAAAGTACAAGGGACACACATTTAGCAAATAAGATAAGTGTTATGCAAACGTCAGCTCATATCAAAAGTAATCAACTAATTGCAAGTATTATGAAATAGTACTTCTTACATATATATCAGCAAACAAGAGGAGTCTTATGGAAAATAACATCTCTATTATACATCTTGGTAAAGACAGAAGTAAAACTCAGCAAAGTTGTATGGAATATAGCACTGTCCCTGATGTGTATTAACAACGACGAACTGCAGCCTCTTAGGTATGGTTGCCATGGAAACAGGTATGCTTTATACAAATCCACAAATCAAAATTCAAAACAAGTACACACCACAAATCACAGACCTTACCCAAACCAAAGTCATTCACAGCAAATATATACTGATATTAATGGTTTAGTGCAATGGGGATTCAATCTTCATTTCAGGTTTTTGTTAACTATAGGAATTTAAACATGATCACATCATTGAGATCAAGTAAATATTCACACAACAGCAGTATAAGATTGATGATCATTGGGGCATTAGCTTTAATATAACATGATTTTTCTCTAGATTGCTGTTTGCATTTTGGGTGAACATTGTGACATGACTTTTTATTAAAATCTTCACTGCAATACAATTTGTAATATGTAATATACATGTGATAATTGTCAGATCAAACTCCCTTCAAATACCATTTCCTTCCATTCATTACGCTGTAATCAACTAACAACTTCCATACATTTATCAAAAATGTTTCCACACAATTCGTTTTGCACTGTAAGTGATGTTTGACACCATGTCAAGCTATGCATATATTTGCTTCAAGAAAATATTTTACAATACATTCACCAATTCACCACTGTGAATTATAACATGTTAAAACACTTCCAAATAACACTGGAATTCTTTCTCACTGATATGACATGATTCTGAAACTATTCAAGTGAAGTTAAAGAACAAGTAATTCTTTCTCGTGTCTCTCTTTAAACTGACATGCCATCACAGATGAATTGCGCATAAAGAAAAGACCTAGATTTTCGAAGCTCTCCTAGTGTTAAGATGGTCAAGTGCCATACATTAACATTAACTTACGACTATCTTAGTGCTTACAGAGCTTCAGAAAATCTAGGGCTCAGATGTCCTTTAACTTCCTTTGAGTGTTTAGATAATCAATGAATTATAGCTTGGAAGCCATCATAATAATCATAACCATTCTGAAACAAACACTGTTACATTTTTCTCTGTAATAAATGCCTTGCTTTGCTATACACCATCGGGGCTCCAGATAAGGGCCGTATCGGCGTATGTACGGATAAAAAATTTGCACGATACGGTAGGAAATAATTTATAAAACGTAGCAGATACGCAGCACGGCAATGGTGTACGGTCTTAGAAACATTTACAGACGTATTTATCTGAAGAGTGTTGTTTTATTGTTTATTGACCTGTTTACACAAGACTAGCAATGTTGTGGTGCATACCGGTATATGAAACGAAACACAAGGTTACTGATATGCCATTAAATTCCATTCAGTACTCTAAATGTAGGCTTAAGATTTTCCAGTACTCCTATATTGAAAAAATAAGGAGTACGTACTCCTGGTGTTCAAAATTATCTGGAGCCCTGCACCATGCAAACTCATCTTTGATTGAGGTTAGTTGTACTTATTAGTATGTAACAGTACCAACATGTTAATGAAAGTTCTGCATACAGATCTGTGTAGCATATGGTCTGTACTTCACAAATTTCCATACACTACTTTCAGCCATCACTAATGTATACACGTGGACAATTTGCAGTGTTGTTTTTCAAAATGAACAAATCAAACATTTACGCTGTGGGAGGAAATGTTAAAAGATGGTACTTGTTGTTACTCTGCCTGGTGCTCTGTATTAGGACAGTGAAACAAGGACTGATCGATTCATCGATTGGTTGAGAGTGCTCTGTATTAGGACAGTGAAACAAGGACTGATCGATTGTCCAATCAGTTGAGATTGCTCTGTATTAGGACAGTGAAACAAGGACTGATCGATTGATCGGTTCGATCTGTATTAGGACAGTGAAACAAGGACTGTTGAGAGTTCTCTGTATTAGGACAGTGAAATAAATCGACTGATCGATTGATCGATCAAGGTTGAGAGACAGTGAAACAAGGCTCTGCGATTTAGGACAGTGAAACAAGGACTGATCGATTGATCAATCGGTTGAGAAAGAGGACATATGTATTAGGGTTCTGTATTAGGACAGTGTGTGATGGTAAACGTAGTGTTTAGAAAACTGTGAAGTGTGACGTTGTGTGTAACCTGGTGTGACATCACCATGTTGCCATTTTTACAAGCCCTTGTTGAAGTAAACCCTAGATGGTGGGTTTGGTAGTGCCAACAGTTTGTCACGGATTTCCGGCTCTAGGCTGCTCACTGCCATGGAACTAGAAATATAAAAGATTACAGTTATTTCGTTCCTGCAAAGGGAATGTTACGACAGGGATTGAATTTGCACCATAGGACACGTATAGCTATAGGAACCCTGTTCAGCCCATAGGATATATACACTTCCAAACTTGTATGTTTTGGACCTACAATACACTAAATTAAAATGTGTTAAAAACATATTGTAAACCAAAAGTCACTGTGTTCTTTAATCTGATTGGTTGAAAACGTGATCAAATGGTATTTTATTCCTGGAAGTTCTCTTCGTATTAATACATACAAACATCGGTCACACCATTGTATTGTTATGTCGTCAGCTGTGGTGACGTCATTAAAATCATATTGTGACGTAAAGTCCGAATGACGTCACAAATGAGCAGTTCCAGATGCTACCATGGGAGACAGCCGAAACGGCCGGCTGATGACATTTCACTGCTGTATCCGTACTCTATGTCAATGAGAGCAGACACAAAAAACGTGTGTGGACCTCTTGGTTTACTTTTGTGTTTACAATGTCGATAAACATCATGTGTTGGCGAATTTCCGGGTGTTATTGAGCATTTGAAGCACGGGAATATTTCCAAATGAATTCCCGTGCTTCAAATACTCAATAACATCCGGAAATTCGCCAACACATGATGTTTATCTCCTAATTTTCAGACTTTTCACATTATTTCATGACTACAGTAAACAGTTGTATCTCATTGTTTTGAAATCCTAGGGACTACAGAAAAACTTTGACATTCCAAGCTTAACCTGAAATCACAACCTCAAAGTGTATGTTGGCAGGGGTCATGGACCAAGGGAGATAACTCAAATATTGGAACTACCGGTAGATTTACCTCCCTTGAAATGCTACTCTAATTTGAAAATGAATATCTGTTTCAAGAACTGACAAATAAAATTCATGATGAAAATGATCTCAGACATCTGTAAAGGGCCTAATATGCCTACTCTGTGATATTAGGATTTAACAGATGAATTTGTGGTAAGAAATCATGTTCGAAGGTCTGTGAAAATAACTCACCTTTTCTGGGGAAACAGGGCACAACACAGAGGGGTTGCAAATACAAGGCTGGAAGAAGAAGAGAGAATTACTGTCCAGGAGAGGTGTATTCAGTACAAAGGCCACAGACCAAAGTACATGTCACAACAAACTATACATAAATGCAACGTGGGGGTGAAAACACAATGCCTTTTAGAAAGTGGTCAAATGCAGCTTGTAATCTGTGGGCTTACTTTCTCAGTAAAGTTTGGTTAGGTGCCTCACGGTGAGAGTGTGGGTTCAAGTCCAGGTTAGAACTCAATCCCCAAAAGTACAAGTATCCTGTACTCTACTGAGAAAGTGTAATCCCAAATATAAATATATAAAATGTAGTGGTGGTTAGAAGCTGAACAAATGAAAGACATACTATCATAATAATGAGGAAAGTATGGATAAAACTACTTTGACATGTTTTGAACACTTAATTAAGGTCTTTGACTCTTCACAGCTCAGCGTATACAGACGTATGTCTTTTGTTTTAACTGCATGATAGAACATATTTCTGTTTCAAATTATAGTGCAATTAAACAAAAAATGAAATTCATCTTCAATGACAAAATGTACAAATTCTCAAATTTCTGACAATTGTCCTCTAAACTGACAATATTCTATAATACCTCATATTTTTTAGAAAAATAACCCACACAAATATTTCCGTTTGAATTAGCTTTATAAATATGCAAATCTTTCATTTGTTCAGAGTAATTTTAATATACAATTTGCATTTGGATTTTATACTTACAAAAATCCTATAAGCGTCACTTGTATGGGTGCATTCAACCATGGCATTCTCTGGAAACATAAAAACATTGGATTGGTTTACAAAAAACAAGAACAAAACCTACTGTGTCATAAGTTTTAAACAAATCCATTCTAGTGTTTTGAATAACAAAAACAGTTCTAAGGTATTGACATTTTTTCAAATATTTCATAAGCAGTTATTTTATAGGGTTGAATCAAATATGAAAAATATCTTGAAGAAATATGAAATCTACTCACCCTTAGAAATTCTTTTTTATCTAGATGATTCATAATAAAAGGAGGAATCACTGCAACATAAAACAACCACATTAAAGTTTGCTTTGATACCTACCATTTTTCTCTCAAACCAGACATGAGCTTAAGAGTATATTAGCCAATGAGAAGACACATTTCCATTCAGTGCAGGAAGACAAAGTAATAGACACATACAGGATTTTACTTTTATTGTGTTTTAAGTGAAAGACAGCAAATATCACTATTTTAAAAATATCTGTATTACATCATGCATAATTTAATAGGAATGACTATTTGTGTTGCTGTCATACTAATCCACCCCTGCCCCAGAGACTGACAGTTAGGGCTGACTGTAAGGACTAAAAATTGGAATTGTCGCCATTGGGAAGCAATATTAATGATTATCAATAGCAAAATTGTGTCCTTGATAACATCTTAAACTTCTGAAATGATCTTTTAATTTATCAAAACTAATGTGTTCAGTGAGTTGCTGAGGACAGAAAGTGAGTGAGTGAGTGAGTTTAGTTTTACGCTGCACTCAGCAATATTCCAGCTATATGGCGGCGGTCTGTAAATAATCAAGTCTGGACCAGACAATCCAGTGATCAACAGTATGAGCATCGATCTGCGCAATTGGGAACCGATGACATGTGTCAACCAAGTCAGCGAGCCTGACCACCCAATCCTGTTAGTTGCCTCTTACGACAAACATAGTCGCCTTTTGTGGCAAGCATGGGTTGCTGAAGACCAATTCTACCCCGGATCTTCACGGGTCGAGGACAGAAAGCAACTGTTTAAATGTCCACAAAGTAATCCATGCATTAATGTGTCCCCACTCATCAGTGACATGTAAAATGTTTCTTTCATTTGGTGCTCAAAGATATTTCTTGGATATTTATTGATAACTGATTGATACTTAATGATTATTGATCTCTACGATCTATATTGATAGCCAGCGGTCAGTGACAAGACAGTGACTGAAATTCACAGTCAATACACAGCTACCGTTCTACTTACTCATTCCTGGTGTGGCCATCATCACCCTGGATATCACCACCTGGGTGATTGCGGATGTTGCAGCACGCGTCGACGTCCCCACACGGTTCCCGTCCTCATCAAGTATAGGGATTCCATTCATCAGCTCCCTGAAATAACACCATGTCTATAAAGAAGCAAGTGTATAAATCAGGTGATGTGTGCACAATGGGGAACAGACTGAGCACAGTTTGGCCGTGTGTTAGTCAAAAACTTCCAACCTTTGGATATTGGTTGAGTTGGGACTGATGCAGAGATGGCAACCCATACGATTTTATCGTATTCGTTACGAGAAAACAACACAAAATATGCGACTACAATAGCAGTAAAAATATACGAATTTTAAAAAACAACAACATTAAATTAAATTATGAAGTAGCATACGTACCATACACAATAAATTCCGACCACATATTGAGTATCAAGCTTTATGTAGATACTGACTACTGATTTAGGTGCATACAGTGTTAATTACAAGAATATCTATATATTTCTTTATTAAATATGAAATTTCTTTGAAAAAAGTTAATACTAATTTGGGCCCCAAAATTACTGATTATTGCATCAGTTTTTGGCCAAAATACTCACTGGGCTAAATTAGGGTTGGCATCTCTGCTGATGAATATGCAGTGGAGAAGTCACTTAGATGAGTTGATCCATGATTAATGGTTAAAAACCCACTGCAGACAATGTAATAAGTCAACAAGAAGTCAACAAAAGTCCTGCCCATTCTATCACCATCAGGACACAGTAAAAGTGTTGAGGAACACATTGCGTTTTTTTTTTCAGACTCACATTATGGATATGCAAATTTTGCAAAACTTAAAATGCAAGAACAATCTCTACATACTTGCTCCTCATGCAGGGGATGTTGATGCAGTTGGCGGCGGCAACGGCAGCAAAGGGAACAAACCGTCCAATCAGGGGAGGGAATTTCTGGAACCAAAGATGAAAGCCAGTGACAGGAAACTTGAAATTTGGAGTTAAGCTCAGTTTTGTGCCACTTTATATTTCAATTTTGCCATAAAGTGCTGCTGGTCATGGACAATGAATCTCTCAATTCTACAGCCAGACCATTTGACAGAGCATCTTCAACTGTGCGTGTATGGTTGAACCCTGTTGACAGGTGAATAGTATAAGAAACCCCCAAATATAACTGTGTACCAAGAAGGCTGTTTGCTGTAATATTGTTTGTAGATGTTCAGCACATGTTCTGTAGGTGATGTTCAGAAGGAGATGTTTTGTAGGTGATGTTCTGTGGGTGAAGTTCTGTTGATATTCACTCAGAAGGAGATATTCTGCATGTGATGTTCAGAAGGAGATGTTTTGTAGGTGATGTTCTGTGGGTGAAGTTCTGTTGATATTCACTGAGAAGGAGATATTCTGTGAGTCATGATCTGCAGGAGATGTTCTTTGGTGACGTTTGGCAGGAAGTATTCACCTGATGATGTTCTGCAGGTATTCTATGGGTGCTACTCTGCACATGTTCCATGGGTGCTACTCTGCAGATATTCTGCAGGTGATGTTCTGCACATGTTCTGTGGGTGATGTTTTGCAGGAATATCTTGCTGCTGATGTTTTGAGGGTGATGTTCTGCAGACGTTCTGCTGGTGGTGTTCTGCAGATGTTCTGTGATTAATGTTTAGCAGACGTTTTGTGTGTGATGTCTTGACCTTACCTTCACCATACTGTTGAGGGTCAGAGCAGTGGTGACAGCTCCTCCAGTAGCCAGGACGTACGAGATGCCTAGATGCCTGCACGTAGAACAAGGTTCATGCTTTGTCAGGCAAATGACATTTTGCATCTTACTAAGGCAACAACTATTATCTACTAATCTACTTAGAAACAAAAATAAAATAAAAAGTAAACAAAAATATCTGCAAATTGGACTGCATGGACATCAATTTCGCCACCAGTCAAATTGATCAAAATAATGGCCATGTCAGACATAACTACATTAACAGCTACATAAAGATTTTGACCAACCCTGCAAATTCGTTGAGCAGAAATTTGTAAATCACAACATCGGGCCAAATTGTTTTGTTCAAAATATTAGATCAGTAACTCAAATAAAGTCAAATCTTCTGATCTCTTGATTTTGTTGGTTCCAATGTTTCTTCGGTGTTAATAATAATTGTGTACTTTCATTCACTATGAAAAGACAGATTTCTGTGATCAAATATTCATTCACAAGCAAATATCTCGACATATTCTCATCAACATAGTCTTAAAAATATACTGTACATATTGTTTCAACATGATGATGGTAAATAAGTACACTTTTAGACTTCTTACAGTACTCTACACCCTGTCATAACTTGATTGATTCAAGTTATTGTATTCCATGTAGATCACTGCTCATGTCAATCACTGGAGGGGCAGCGGGGTAGCCTAGTGGTTAAGGTGTTCGCTTGTTGCGCCGGAGACCAGGGGTCGATTTCCCACATGGGGACAATGTGTGAAGCCTATTTCTGATGTCCCTGCCGTGATATTGCTGGAATATTGCTAAAAGTGGCGTAAAACTAAACTCACTCACTCACTGAATCACTGGATTGTCTGGTCAAGACTAAATTATTTAAAGAACGCTGTCATATAGCTAGAAAATTGCTGAGTGCGGTGTTAAGCTATGGTAGACCAGGGTAGACATCATAATTCAATAACACATTGGAGATTTGGAGAATTGAGGATGTAGGTTACCCTACTCCATTCATGGGTACTGACTTGGCTGATATTGGTGAGTCGCCGCTCCTGTTGGTGTAGTTGACGATGGCGTTGAACGACTGGTTGAACCACTGCCAAAACAACACTGCGGGGGTGGTTCTGAAAACATAAATCTCTTAATGATGGCTGTTTTCAATATTTGTCAGTGGTTCATTGAAAAGACATCTTTTGTTCCTGCCATTCAATGTTTCAACATCTGAACCACTTGGTGTGAAAAGATTTACGATTTAAAAATCTTTTACATTCTGATCATTTCAGATCACGGAGATGAAAGGTAACATTAAACCAACAACATAGAACTAGCATATCACTGCTGTTAGCCTACTTTCATAGCTATCAACCAACTTGTACAACATATATTTTATACAAATCTATAAAATGTATGCGACATATATTTAACTATATTTCCTCAAGGTAAGGTCAAAGATAGCCTAATCATCCAAGGTCATTTTCTTTTCAATTAGGACTGAGAACCAGTTTTCATGTCAAGTGATTCTTCACATTTATTATGAAATGCAGTTCACAAACATGGCCAAAAGACTCTGTATACAGCTCACTTGACTTGAATAAACTTATGAGATATCAACTTTCGGTACAAACATCTGCATCAACATAACTGCCATGTTTAACATGGGATGGGAATGGGCTTGATCATGAAAACACTATGCTCACATCTAACAAGAGAAGATTATTTGGTAATCATTATTCACATTAATCACTACTGCTTGACCTAGTTTCTGAATTGTGAGGCACTAATATCAGATATATGTGTTTAGCTACATTTAAATGAAAACACAAGCCTGACTAGCTTTAATTTGCGGAGTTTAAGAATAAAGGAGTTTGGCATAAGTCAAGTTTTGCTTTTTCATGATTAGATGTCATTTGCGTTTAGCTGCTGTCACAATTCATCGGCAACAAAGGACGACCTGTGGACCTCTCATGGCACCGTGATAAAGGGGAGCAACTCTTACTTGTAGAATGTCATCATGCAGCCCGTTATTGTCATGTTCATTGGGACCTGAGCCGACATTCGTCCGAGGAGTAACATCTTCTCCCCAGTGTCCGGATGGAAGGCAGAGTCGTACAACTGTTTAGCTTTCCATATCTCATCGTCACTCAGGTTGGACAACTGATCTCCTCGTCTGAAACAGAAACAGTTCTATTAGAGATGTTTTCTTCTTGCTACATCATCAAAATCTATGACTTTGTCACGTCAGGATTACTTCTTGCTTAGGAATGATAAAAACTTGCCCTATTTTGTTGGAAAAACACAGCAAATCAACAGTCTACAACAAATCAAGTCTTCAATCATTTGGTTGGGAATTGTCTTGTTTGTATATTTTGCAAGGCTTTGACAGGTGTGTTTGGTAAAAAATTATTTTGTTTCTGGTTCCAACTGTGTCAGCTCTTTCCTTATTGTCATGCTTAATAACCAAGGGCAGATAAGTCTAACCAGCTGTCCCAAAAATTATTCGAATTAACCTGGATGATGCGCTTTAAAAGACCATTTTAGTACTAGAAAAAGAACATGCAGATTTTACCATTTTGTTCACTTTGGTGAATCACACAATTGAGCTTGTGAAAGAAATGATTATCACTTCTAAAGTTGCACCCCCACATCAGATTTGTCCAACAAATGGACAAGACACACATTACATATTTTGCCTTGCACCTATACCTAGCATACATTAGTACATAAGGGACTGTCCATAATTTATGGCCAGGGTGAGGTGGGGGTGGGAGGTGATGATTTGTATGGAGAAGCATGTACAATGTGAATGCCCCCTCCCAAAAAAAAATAAAAAAAATAAAAATTTATGCACAAAATAAGTGACTCCCACCTGCATGTCATGTACAAAATTAATGCCCCCCCTCACAACAAAATTGCTGACCCCCTTAGTAAGTGTGTACAAAATGGATGACCCCCCTAGCTCCCCAGAACAAAATGGGTGACCCCTCTTAAAATCATCATCACCCCCTAGCCATAAATTATAAACGGTCCTTAATTGTTGTACATTTACACTGAAATACGATATGCGTTAATGACAAAATATGATTAACATTTATATGCAGGTACGGTTACTTCAGTAAGTTTGGTAACATGGGAATTTTGTCTGTGAACACTGTAGATAGACAGACCTTGGTGAATCAGCAAATTATCATTATATGTTCTCCACCAAAGTGGATGAGCACCATGGGTCAGATTAAATTGGTTGGTTGGTTTGTTGTTTAACATCGCACTGTATTATTCCAGCTATATGGACGGCAGTTTGTAAATAATCGAGTGTGGACCAGACAATCCAGTGATCAACAGCATGAACATCGATCTACACAATTGGTATACGGTGACATGTGTCAACCAAGTCAGTGAGCCTGACCACCTGATCCTGTTAGTCGCTTTTTATGATAAACATGGGTTGCTGAAGACCAATTCTAACCCGGATCTTCACAGGTTTGGGTCAGATGAAGATAAAGACTTGGGTATTTCAGTAAGAGAGGATGAGAATCATTACTTAATCGAGAGTGAGGGAGTGGATGGGTGAGTGAGTGAGTGAGCTGGGATGCACAACACTTTCAGAAATATTCCAGCAACATCACGGCGAAGTGGTGATTGCGCCGGTGAATAAACGCTCTAAGCCGGCATGGGTATGAGCAGTCCAATCAAGGTCCCTTAATCCAATACACTCCTCTTGGCACGGTAGATTGAGAGATTGACAAGTGTAAATGGCAGCCATGTTGGAAAATGATCGTCACTGTTTAATCCGGCATTCCTGTCTAAACCGGCATTTTATTTCGGTCCCGTGGGATGCCAGTTTTCACTGTACATATCAACATCTACTGTACAGACCAAAGTAGTGTCCATCTACTGGATGGAATTATGTACCTCCTCTTAGGTTTACTGTGTGGCATTACTAGTTGAAATAATTGGCTGTTCATAGGTTGATTAGCTCGGAAACGCATACAGAGTTATGCTAATAACAGGTGTGCAGTAGTGTGAGACGAGCAAATTGTATATTTCATTGTTCATATATATTCGACAGCTGTTTTCTAGGAGTACCCAATGAATATTTCATTATCACAGCATGAGATGCTATTATATTTTCTTTCATGTTTACTGAATGAGTGTGTGAGTGAACAATTGTCATATTACATTGCCAAAACATTTTGTCCTTGAATACTGTAGAAAGACAGAACTGATGAATCATAAAGAGACAGAACTGATGAGTGAGTGAGTGAGTGAGTAAGCAAATTTCCTATCAGTTGAATATATTTAAACAATTAATGTGATTTTCATAATTTTGAAAAATGTATCACAGATTTATTAATACATTGATAAAAATAAAAGATCTATGTGAAGCATGAGACCAAAACGAGAATCTGTGCCCTACACCCGAACAAGCCCTTTCCCTAAGGCATTCACATCCACAGTCAATAATCGCTCGTAAACTTCAATTTTCTCATGGCAAAGGCAAGAAGAAATTGATCTTAGGCTCTATGGAAGACAGTTTAACCTAGAGTCTCTGATATTGCCTCATGGTCAATTTCAGCTGAATTTCCATGACAGATGATGAGGGCACCGTGAGAGTGTAGCTCATTAGATCGATTCGATCAATCGCGAACACATGGCCGAGACACCTCAAGGTAGCTCAGCTTGGCTTCAGGGACTTCATCTTGGCTATGTCAGTATTAGTGAAATCAGCATGACTGATATCCTCTGATTTATAATCTAAATATATTGAATGCACATAATAATGTGAAACTTTTTGTTTTCAAATTTGAATTTTGAATAAAAATATAAAATGGCTTTGAGCTTGGATACAGTAAGAATGTTAAACCACACAAGATTTACTTTATTTTGATAATAAAATACCCTGGACTTATCATTGCTCACTGTAAATAACAAATACTATTTACAAATGCTTACTAACAAAGTAGATACTATAGATACTCATACTGATATTTCTGTATGTGTAAAAACCCGTGAAGATCCGGGTTAGAATTGATCTTTAGTAACCCATGCTTGTCGTAAGAGGCGACTAACGGGATCGGGTGGTCAGGCTCGCTGACTTGGTTGACACATGTCATCGCTTCCCAATTGTGCAGATCGTTGTGTGGTGTAATGTATTGTGTAATGTGGTGTAATGTGGTGAGGTCATTTGTAACTACATTCCAAAATGTATTGTGTGTTGTGTTGTGTGGTGGTGTAATGTGGTGAGTTGTGGTGAGGTGTGTTGTGGTGTGGTGTTATGTGGTGTGGTGTGGTGTTGTGAAGTGTGTGTTGTAATGTGGTGAGGTGTGGTGTAATGAAGTGAGGTGTGGTGTAATGTGGTGATGTGTGGTGAGGTGTAATGTGGTGAGATGTGGTGAGGTGTAATGTGTCAATCCGGCAAGCCGGCTGGCGTCTCGTACCCCTCTCGTGGCCATGTTTATGACTGGGCCCTGTCTAAGCTGCAAACGGGCATGGAGATGAAAATAGTCTAGTACTATTACCAAGGAAAGATAACTCTGAATTTCCAAACATGGTTCCTAGAATATCCTATATCCTGTGGGCAAAACAGCAATACAGTCATTCCCTTTGTAAATATGTTTCAATGTTTAAAGTTGCTGATCCTTTAGCTCAAATTTTATGTTTAAATTGTGCTTTGCATAGTTCAGCAAAGTTTCAAACTTCAATGGTGCCGCCATTTTCATGCTTCGAAATATGTTTAACTACACTTGATTTGATTGGTTTGCCACGATTCTTGGCAATAATGGCATACGATAGGGGTACAAGTCTTCTTGTAGGTCACGGAAAGAGGTGAGTAGTTACGAATGGTGGTGAGGTGTGGTGTAATGTGTTGTGTTGTGGTGTGTTGTAATGTGGTTTGTCGTGTTGTGGTGTAATGTGGTGAAGTGTGTTGTGGTGTAATGTGACGTGATGTGTGTTGTGCTGTGTGGTGTAATGTGATGTGTGTTGTGTTGTGTGGTGTAATGTGATGTGTGTTGTGTTGTGGTATGTTGTAATGTGTTGTGTTGTGGTATTTAGAGTTGGTGTGGTATGTTGTTCTATATTGTGTTGTGGTATGTTGTAATGTGTTGTGGTGTGGTGTGTGGTGATATGATTGGTATTTAGAGTTGCTGTGGTATGGTATTGTGGTATGCTGTTCTATATTGTGGTGTGGTATGGTCTGCTATATTGAGGTGTGTTGTATGGTTGTATGGTGTGGTATGGTATTGTGGTATGCTGTTCTATATTGTGGTGTGGTATGGTCTGCTATATTGAGGTGTGTTGTGTGGTTGTATGGTGTGGTATGGTATTGTGGTATGCTGTTCTATATTGTGGTGTGGTATGGTCTGCTATATTGAGGTGTGTTGTGTGGTTGTATGGTGTGGTATGGTATTGTGGTATGCTGTTCTATATTGTGGTGTGGTATGGTCTGCTATATTGAGGTGTGTTGTGTGGTTGTATGGTGTGGTATGGTATTGTGGTATGCTGTTCTATATTGTGGTGTGGTATGGTCTGCTATATTGAGGTGTGTTGTGTGGTTGTATGGTGTGGTATGGTATTGTGGTGTGGTACTTTGGTGTTGTGTTGTGGTACTTTGGTGTTGTGTTGTGGTGGGGTGTGGCATAGTTTTTGTTATAATGCATTAGTCATGTGTGTTTGTTGTTTAATGCATCACTCGGCAACATTCCTGCTACATGACTATAACCTGAAACTAGTCCAGTAATGACAGGCAATCCACCAAGTGACCAAGCCTCACCACCCAGTCCATTCAGGTCGTCTTATGACCCGTATACATTCCTGGGGACATTTTCTAACCCAGAATCCCCACCAGGTCTGACCTTGAAGTGTGACGTGACCTTCTCAGAGGTCATATCATATTTCTTCCTGGCTTGTGTGTCAAACACATCATGCCATTCATGTGATGCCCCTTTGAAGTATACTCAACAAGCCATTGTGACTAGCCTTTTCCAAAACTGGTCCAGCAACAAAATAGGATGTTGACAATCACTATTACCCATGCATTGCCACTGTGTATGAAATGAGGCCCGTTCGACTGCCTGAGATGGGCTAGTTTCTGCTAACTGTCTAAATTTACAGCTAGCCAGCCCTATAGTCTGGTGAAAACTTCAGATAACATGTTCCATACATCTGAGTATTAACAATGACTGCTGTGAATAGACTGTCAGTCATTAATACATGTCTCAGGGTCCTTAAACTATTCATTGTAACTAAAAATTGAGTTATTTTCTTTGCATTGTCTGGTCTGGTTATATCCATTTTGAGCTGGTAACATTTTGAAGTTACCATCCGTGATGTCTGGCTGGGTTTTTGGCTTATATACACTGATTGCCATGGTGATGGGTTTGGAATTTTTGTACGATTCTGAAAATGTTTTAAGTAACAGCTTCAAATTATACGGGTTTATTTTCTGACACAAGGATGTAAGATTCTTTTTACCCATTTTTAAAAAAAAATGTTGCAAAATCATTTTGCTGCAAATATTTTCCAGAACTCTGTATTTCATTGTGAAAAATCTCAGTGCACGTCCTTTTACCTCCCACTCCATCTCACTCAACAAAATAACACAACACGACCAGAATATCAAACGGTCAGACCAGCTACATCAGTGGTTTGAGAAACAACATCAGCAACAACTCACCTATATCTGTCCACTATATCAGTGGTTTGAGAAACAGCATCAGCAACAACTCACCTATATCTGTCCACCATATCAGTGGTTTGAGAAACAACATCAGCAACAACTCACCTATATCTGTCCACTATATCAGTGGTTTGAGAAACAACATCAGCAACAACTCACCTATATATGTCCACTACATCAGTGGTTTGAGAAACAACATCAGCAACAACTCACCTATATCTGTCCACTACAACAGTGGTTTGAGAAACAACATCAGCAACAACTCACCTATATCTGTCCACTACATCAGTGGTTTGAGAAACAACATCAGCAACAACTCACCTATATCTGTCCACTACAACAGTGGTTTGAGAAACATCAGCAACAACTCACCTATATATGTCCACTACATCAGTGGTTTGAGAAACAACATCAGCAACAACTCACCTATATCTGTCCACTTCATCAGTGGTTTGAGAAACAACATCAGCAACAACTCACCTATATCTGTCCACTACAACAGTGGTTTGAGAAACATCAGCAACAACTCACCTATATATGTCCACTACATCAGTGGTTTGAGAAACAACATCAGCAACAACTCACCTATATCTGTCCACTACATCAGTGGTTTGAGAAACAACATCAGCAACAACTCACCTATATATGTCCACTACATCAGTGGTTTGAGAAACAACATCAGCAACAACTCACCTATATCTGTCCACTACATCAGTGGTTTGAGAAACAACATCAGCAACAACTCACCTATATCTGTCCACTACATCAGTGGTTTGAGAAACAACATCAGCAACAACTCACCTATATATGTCCACTACATCAGTGGTTTGAGAAACAACATCAGCAACAACTCACCTATATCTGTCCACTACAACAGTGGTTTGAGAAACAACATCAGCAACAACTCACCTATATCTGTCCACTACATCAGTGGTTTGAGAAACAACATCAGCAACAACTCACCTATATATGTCCACTACATCAGTGGTTTGAGAAACAACATCAGCAACAACTCACCTATATCTGTCCACTACATCAGTGGTTTGAGAAACAACATCAGCAACAACTCACCTATATCTGTCCACTACAACAGTGGTTTGAGAAACAACATCAGCAACAACTCACCTATATATGTCCACTACATCAGTGGTTTGAGAAACAACATCAGCAACAACTCACCTATATCTGTCCACTACATCAGTGGTTTGAGAAACAACATCAGCAACAACTCACCTATATCTGTCCACTATATCAGTGGTTTGAGAAACAACATCAGCAACACTCACCTATATCTGTCCACTACATCAGTGGTTTGAGAAACAACATCAGCAACAACTCACCTATATCTGTCCACTACATCAGTGGTTTGAGAAACAACATCAGCAACAACTCACCTATATCTGTCCACTACAACAGTGGTTTGAGAAACAACATCAGCAACAACTCACCTATATCTGTCCACTACATCCTTAGCATGATCGAGCTGACTCCCGGACACGAACAGGTTCAGAGGGTTGGTGGTGATGAAGAAATGTTTGGCTCTGCCGCTGTATGACCCCTGGTCATAGCGAGGCTCATCCAGGTTGATTCTCCTCTTGACCACCTCCATGTTACTTTAATCCCTGGAACAACACAGAGTCCAGTCTTTAGTACATGCAAAAAGGTATTGAGTACCTGTATCTTAAAGTCAGACCTAGGTTTCAACAGTAAGGGACCGTTCATAATTTATGGCTAGTGTGTGTTAGTGTGTCTCCCTATGTGTTAGTGTGTGTGCCCCTGTGTGTCTCCCTGTGTGTGTGAGAGAGAGAGAGAGAGAGAGAGAGAGAGAGAGAGAGAGAGAGAGAGAGAGAGAGAGAGAGAGAGAGAGAGAGAGAGAGAGAGAGAGAGAGAGAGAGAGAGAGAGAGAGAGACCCATTTTGTACTGCAGAGGTCAACAATTTGGTACATAATAATATAAAAAATTACCGCTTAAAATATAAGGGATATTTTGCAACATGCAAGTCGAGAAGTGAAGATGTGAGAAAGCCCTGGTGGTGGGTAGTAAACTATAAGATTGTTGTATTTGTTGTATTAAGGGTCCTGCTTCAGTACACTCCTAATGATCAACTTCTGGATCAATCTACCTGTATCTTAAAACATGACCTCAAGTTTCATTTCAACATTAAATGTCAGGCGATCGTCACTCTTATGTCTGTTTTTGTTAACATCATCTAAGCCAAAACGGTTTTATGGCTGTACCATATCTCTTCCATGTCTGCAACATGTAGGTCAAGGACTGAAGATATGAGTTATCTCCCCTGGTTGGTGTTTGATTCCAAAGACTGCATTTGCTCTGTAAAGGACCTGGCTTTAATAAACTTCCCATGACCAGCTTCTGGACCAATCTATTAGTAATCTTGTAAGCATCCCCCTACTCAAACCAGTCTATGATGCTTCACATTTACTTGTGTACAATACTGATTTCAGGGTTCGAAATACCCCATATATTAGTGTGCCTTGGCACGGTAAATACAGAAATGGCACTTCAAAAAATGTTCTCGGTGCCCTTTTGACACGCCCTAATTTTTAAGAGACATAACTCACATTTAGTTATTTAATCCCAAAACAATTATTTTTTTCCAAATTGAATAATACCATACATATTTGAATGCTTATAAACCCATTTCTTTATTAAACAAAAATTTCAAATGATCATCATCATTGTCATTTATTCTAAAAATATGTGGGCATACTCGATTTCAGAAAGGCTAACCTAAAATATTTGTCTGGTGCCCTAAGGCACACTTAGAAAAAATATTTCTATCCCTGGATTTGATACAGCAAGCAACATAGAAGGGGTTAAGAACTTTCTCGTATCTATTAACTAAAACGTTTCAGTTTAACTGAAATTAGAAGCTAGTTTTCTCACCACTACTCGATCTATAACAAATTTAACTTGTGTATGTTTTAATAAGCTCACTCTTAAGTCAATGTTCTAAGCTCCTGGGTGCATATTTCTATAAATATGGTAATCCCATCTGTTTGAGTGTCTATCACAGACCTGATACATAGAGAGCTATCTCATCCAGTTCAAGCCAGTAATCAGTTCAAACTGCATCTCCAGGTATCAATATCTTATCATCAAAGGACACAATGTTATGAGATAAAAATGAAAGCCAAAATGGTACTTTTAAAATTACTATCATGGTTAATTGAAAAAAAAGGGCAATTTGCAACATAATTATAAAGTTTCTTTTCTTATCAGGAGTATTGTTTAACATTTGCTGAACACCACGATATCATTACTGATGGGGACACCAGGATATTGCAAACCCATTGGGAAATGAACCGAGATCTTCACCATGAGATGCATAGGGATTTCCTCCTCACAACTTACTCATCCCCTAATGTCCCCAACCAGTATTTGAGTTACCAAAGTTAATCAAAAACATGACACATTTATAAACTCATGTTACATGTGGTCATGAAGCTCTAATGAGGTTGCCATTATCGAACTTCTATTTTCAGGTTTTATTTTCTGATTTTTTATATATATATAAGTTGCTTTATATTAAAGCATATTAAACTATACAAGTGCATGTAGAGTAAATTTATTAGAAACTATTTTTCACGTACATTGTGAAGTGAAACGTTTAAAAAGCTGAAAAAAGTAATCACCAACAGGGATCCAGTATAAGGTAAGTCTCTCAGCATTTCTTAACATTCCTTGTGTTCACATTGTGGTTGTCAATGACGAACATGTATGTGCTTATAAATAACTCATACATAGACAGGGATGTGTGTATTCATCTTGTTCATAATAGAAGATAGTGAGTGAGTATGATTTTATGCCACTTTTTGCAATATTCCAGCAATATCACAGCGGAGGACACCAGAAATTGGCTTCACACATTGTACCCATATGGGGAATCGAACCTGGGTCTTCAGTGTGATGAGCGGGCGCTTTAAATAACCCCTAGCTAGGCTACCCCACTGCCCCAGTAGAACATAGTCAACACACTCAATTATTATTCATATTTTGCTGTTTATTAGAAGTAGGGGTAATTGTAGGGAGGTTTCAGTGGTCACTGTTTTTGCCTCTCTTTCAGTTTCAGATGATCACATAATGGTCAGTATACATCAATGTTCTTTGGTACTGCAGGTGTGTGACAGGCTGTAGAGTACGATCGAGATTGAAGATTTTTAGGGTAATATAGCATATAAAGTAAGGGAGAGTGTACAGGATTTGTCCTTGTCAGCTAAATCGCCATTGTACCGTAGGTCACAGCCAATTACAGAGCCAGAGATGTCACCTTTGACACACAATTTTTGACTTATATAGGTCACTCATACCTCGTGTATTGTCGGTCTAGTTCGACCACGATACACTCCAAATCACAAAGTGATCGTTCATATGCTGTTAAGAAACAACACATCATTTAAAAATAACATACGACTACATAGCATTTGTGTAAATTGGTAAAACATTTCGAACCAGTTGACATTGGATGCGGCGCACTGTTTCGTGTTCTACTGTTTACCATCAAAAGCAATGTCGCGCCTCGGTATTACGTGATATACTTCTGATTTCGTCAGAAGACACATGTAAAAATTACCTGCTTAAAGAGTTAACTTGATGCTTCAAAATAGTCACTGTTGTCGTTAAAAGTCCCGTGTCATCCACTTGGCTGGGAGGATAAATCAATTTCAGACCAACATGTTGATTTCACAGCGGAAGTTCACTTCAAGGTGAAGGACTAGAGGTGTGTCGGTGTTTAGTGGTTTGATTGGCTAAGACTCGGGGACTGGAGTTCAGAGGTCAAAGTGGAGGCAGGCGGTCAAAGTTGCCACGCACGTTGCATCATCTGGCTTCGTGGACGCGTTGAGGACGTCACATTTCCACGCGAAACAAAAATAACTACACTTAAAAGCGTGAAACGACAGCTTTGAAAAGGGATTTTCTCAACAACTGTCCATACATATATAATATGTAAAACCGAACACAGATGGAATATGGTAATTACAGGATTTTCAGTTTAATACTTCAGGAATAGTGTTCTACGAACTGTTTTATAATAGTATGCTCAGAAATATGCCCAGAATGAATTATTTCTTGGTAGTGGAGAAGATATCCATACTTATTTGATTATATTTGTCTTAACAGTGAAAATGAATAGCTTGTATAAATATTTAGATATATTTGGGAAACAATCGAGAACTCTAACCGATGCTCCTGCTGATGGTGATGACGAAGAGGTTTGTTTTAACGATGCACTGTGCGATATTCCATCTTTATGGCGGTGGTATGTAAACAATCTGTTAGTCTGGAGACCAATTCTAACCCGGATCTTAAAACCTTTATTTAAAGTGTCATAAACTTTAATTTCTTGAGTTGGTTCGGGAACCTGTCTGTTCAGAATAAAAACAAACTTTCAAAAATCGTAAACACTGTGTCTAAAATTATTGGGCTTCCTATCGAAAGTATCGGCAGTTGTTATGAGCAGCAAATTTCAAAAAGGCAAACAAAATTTTAAGTGATCTTACTCACATACTCTTTTCTGAATATTCATCATTACCTTCTGGACGCAGGCTGCGTATGCCGACTTTTAGAACAAACAGGGTTCGCCACTCATTTGTTCCAGCTAGTATTAGATGCATTAACAACAAATTCTGTGAATGACTTGTCTTTTAATTGTCCAAATTCTATTCAATATCTATGTTTGTGTACTAAATTGATGTATTTATATCCTGATTATTTCATGATTACCAATTGCAATGTTATGTATGGCTGCTTTATGAATGAAAAACTGGAGAACGTATGATGCAAAACAAATTCCCCTTGGGACAATAGAGAATTATCTTATCTTATCTTATCTTATCTTATCTTATCTTTTCTTTTCTTTTCTTTTCTTATCTTATCTTATCTTATCTTTCTTATCTTTTCTTTTCTTTTCTTTTATCTTATCTTATCTTCACGAATGGATGAGGAGGAGGATACGAAGCTGGTGACGCGGATGGGATAACCCAGAACAATATTGGCGAATATGGCATTAAGCAATAAATAAAAGATTGTGTCTGTGAGAGCTATGATATTCGATTGGATGGTGATGGAGGTTCGATTTGTAAAGCGGGACCCACGCAGAACAAGGACATACAGGGCAAGGACATGCAGAACACGACTCAAACAGGTGTCGCCAAATCCACCCTGTTCAGCATGACTGAAGAAGGCAAGATAACCTCTTGACTCGTTAAGGGGCGATAACTCTTGGCGGACTAACTCGGAAAGTGTCCCAAGCGTTTGTAAAATAACTCCAGTCCAGATTGAGGTGTTGCCACTATCGTCAAAAGCTTACAAACTATATTCTGGAATAAGACAGGACATGAACAATGATCTGTCGGTGGCCGATACATACATATTTGAAACACAGGATAATCACTCTTTCAAACGTATCGTTTACCAAGAACTGAAATAAATAATTTTGGGCTCATTGAAAGTGACTGACTGTCTTTGTGACAAATAGCGTATATGTCAAAAAGTTTATCTACTTCTGTATAATGATCATAACGCATGGGGCAGATTCAATGAACTCAACGACCCAAAATGTCACAAAAAATAGAATGAAAATGCAGGAAGAATTGTTTACGTCTAAACAATTACCGTATTGTTACTGACCCAGCCGCCCTTACTTTTGTGCGACCACACCTAAACACTATGCATTATATTTTATTTGAATTTGAATGTTTAGTTAAGGAAAAGTGAACTCTAGACTAGAAAAGAAGAATAATTTTTTTTGCAAAACAATGTAATCTTCTCAATTGTCCTGGACACACTTAGTTCATTTCCGAGAGAGAAATATTCAAAGTACGTATATATTCAAATGTCCTGACGTCACGCCCTCTGTAATCGGCTTCAACAAGACAGGCATTATGGGCGTGGAGTAAACGCGCAGCAATGTAGAGATGCGTGCAATTTTCTCTTCACGGCGGGTATGTGATTCTTAGCAGCTAAACATATACTGTTTCTGTTATTTCTGGCAACCCTGCATAATATCAACATTGCATACATTGAATACATAATGACGTCTTATACATTAATGAATGTGTAAAACGTAACGTTCGGTCTATGATAAACCCCTTGAAGGCAACAAAACTCAGAAATGTAGTGATTTTACGACGCCCTGCGTCAATCTGTCACATATAAAAATTACAAGCTCGAACTATAATGTAATATTCCACTCATCGGAAACACACTTGTGTTGTGTCGTCTAGACGTGTTAGACATCTCTGGTCATTGGTGAGTGAACGTGTGTGTGTGAGTGTGAGTGAGTGAGTGAGTGACTATGGTTTTACGCCACTTTTAGAAATGCTCAACCAACACCACAATGCAATATTCACATTATTCGCGTATGGGGAATCGTTTGCTTGTTGTTTAATGCCGCACTGGGCAATATTACTGTTATATGGTGTCTGTAAATAATCGAGTCTGGACCAGAGAATCCAGTGATCAACTGATCAACATCACGAGCATGGATCTACAACTTAATCTATAACATAATATACTCATGTCAATAATGGTTGTCACCCCCTTCAATTTTTTTAATTGGAGAGGGGGTGTGGGGTGGGGGTGTGAGGTGTGTGTGAGGTTGGGGTGGGGAGGGGTGTGACAACCATTATTGGCATGAGTATAGATCCCAGAAAAATGTAATACATATGGTTAAATAAAACTATCCTACAAGAGATCCCTCGGGTATGAAGAAACCCTAAAGTTAAATAATTTCCGAGCTTATGTTGGGATGTGTATGGACTGAACAGGGATTGTAATATGTAATTGTGGTCAGTGAGAGAGTGAGTGAGTGAGTGAGTGAGTGAGTAACAGAATGGAGACCAATTCTAATTCCCTTGATGGTTGGGGAGGAGGCATGATATAATCGTACGCCCTGGACTAACATATAGAATTAATCAAACAAAATATTAGCGATTCAAATAGTAAAAACAATTCAATTTAATGAGTGAGTGAGTGAGTGAGCATAGTTTTACGCCGCTTTTAGCAATATTCCAGCAATATCACGGCGGGGGACACCAGAAATGGGCTTCACACATTAAACCACTGTGGGGAATCGAACCCGGGTCTTCGGCGTGACGTGCGGACGCTTTAACCATTAGACCATCACGCCGTCCGGTCAATAAGAGAGCCCTGTACCCAAGAAACAAAACATTCTTTACACAGATTACCGAACAGACTAGGCCAGACTTAGTGGGGCGGTTCTGTTCGGGGTCTGACAGTATTTCCGTTTTAATACATTGTATATTTATTGACCGTTGCATTTCGAACACAACCATTAATTTATTATATTTCTGTCAATTTCTAGGGTGTTGACGAGAGAATTATTAAATTGTATCTGTCACCACTAATCATATTTAGGATACCACTAATATGTGGTTCATCACGCCAATATGTTTCTAAGTTAAAGTCAATATATCAATATTGATCATATAGTATCATAATTAATCATGTGAGATCCAGCTAGAGTAATAATACAATGAGGCGTTCGTAAAATCGCTACGGGTGATCCACTGTTTCAGATTGGTATTCGACATTGAACCTTTTTACTTTATTCGCGATTGCAGTACATGGACCAACTATAACTTAACGCATAGTAAATATGATCTGACTTGCCACGAAAAAACTGACCGCTAATTTCAGGTCGTAAGTGTTAAATAATTTACTTATTCGCATCATGCGACTAATAACTTACTATATTTTCTTACCTTCGGAAGTTCTATAGGTGATCCGCTATACTAAAAGTAACCTAGCGTTATGACATAGTTTCAGTGTTGTATTTCCTAGAAAATCGCACAATTATTACACGAGAATGTACTAAATCCTACATCTCTTGAAATAAAGCTGTATCCTGGTCTGAGTACTTGACCCTCCTTTTCCAGTGCGTCTGTGCTTGTGTCTGTGCGTCTGTACTAGAGCCTGGGGAGGGGATGGGTGGGGTGAGACTTGGAATGTACTGACATGTTAGCAATTAGATATTTTTTTCAGCTACTCCCTCAAATTTCGCCCATTTCCTTCTTTGAATCACAGGCAAACTGTAGCTCAAATAGGGTTGCGCAACAACGAGAAAATGACCAGTCTTCCTCTACACTTCGCTCGCATATAGGGAGACTGGTCATTTTCTCTTTTTGCGCAACCCTATTTGCGCTACAGTTTGCCTGTGATTGAATTGACGGAGCGGTGGGGTAGCCTAATGGTTAAAGCGTCCTCTCGTCATTCTGAAGACCCAGGTTCGATTCCCCACATCGGTACAATGTGTGAAGCCCATGTCTGGTGTTCCCCACCATGATATTGCTGGAATATTTGCTTAAAGCAGCGTAAAACCATGCTCACTCACTCACTCAATAAATTGAATTGTTTTTACTATTTGAATCGCTTATATTTTGTTTGATTAATTCTATATGTTAGTCCTCCTCCCCAACCATCAAGGGAATTAGAATTGGTCCCCAATCTGTTGAAGATCATCTCACTGGCCATCTGTGTTCAACACCTGGTGTCACAAGCCCACAAATGCTTGGTGGAACAGACAAGTCTCAAATCGATACTTAATACCTCCTAATGTGATTACTTAGGGTCCTCGCGGGGACTTGGGGCTAGAATTGGTCCCCAACCCGTGTTCTCGTTAGAGGCGACCGAATAGATCCGGTGGCTAAGCTCGGTGACTTGGTCTGTTGCCTGTCTTCCAATCCCGAACCCG